GAAACAGGCATATTTAATTTAATATTAGTTACTAAATAGTGTATAATTAATGTTGTGATATGTGGAGAATACAATATTTTGCCAACCCAAAACATGGCGGACAAATGAGAACATAATCAATGCGTGATCCATGTGATATCGAGAGTTCGTCATCTAGTATAATATAGATATCTGTGGTGGCAACTGATAAAATAAGATAAGATTACCCCACGCCATGCGACCGTACCTTGCCAAAATTGCGGCACAACGGCCAAAATAAAATACGATTTTGTTATTATTAAATTCATACCGCTCTCTATCGGAATTTTTTTTTCACGCCACCGAAAAACCGGTCAGTGAGCAATCTATAGTATTTATAATCAATGGTAATAATAATTTAGGTTTTCTTCGCAGTGAATAGCCCGACAGCGAGTATTCCAGTGGCGAAATGCCCTAGACCCAGTGTACTTGTCTACTTGTGTGAGTCTATCAATAATTTTACTTAAATAATCGCTTAACAGTTTTGTTTATAGGTACCTGTATCTTATTCATATTTATTTATTTTTTATCTCAATTCACAAGAATTAAAAAAATCAGATTAAAAACAATAAAACTTGTAATTATATTTTCGATTCGTATGATATATAAACCACTGATATATATATATATATAATAAATTTATGGTGTATATTTGTTAGAATCTTACCTCCATTAATTCGATTAAATGTTCTTATTTAGGAAGAAAATTCATGAAATTTTTTTGTGAATTTTAATTAGGTACAAGAAAAATATTTATTTGAAAATAAAATTAATTAAACAGCAGTTTTGCATTTCTTGCTTAATTTGTATATATCCGTATACAGTAAGTATAATATTTGTTAAACACAATTGTTAATTGTTATAGTATTATATTTGTAAAACATTCTACAATATGTATTCATTCTAGACAACATTTCTAAGAACCAACTTACGTACACAAATAATAATTGAAATATTATATTTTGAATAACTTGTGGTACTAGTGTAATATAGATTTAGTACATACATAAATCTGCAAAAGTAATAGCTGTTTCTATTATACTTTTTATGCATAATACATAATATGTAGTATACATATATTATATGTATACTATATGTTTATATATTTTACTGTCGAGGGAAACCACATTTCAAGTAGGGTTCATAGTTCTTTAAAACTTAAAATCTTTTATTGCTAAAAAATAATATAAAATTTGTTATAAATCTTTAGAATTTATTTTTATCATACTCAAGAGACGTAATATGAATTTCCTTCACTGCTTCAATAAATAATTTAATTGTTATAATTATAATGCAAAAACCAAATAATTTTAACTTTTAAATAACATAAATAAAATGTACGTATATCAAGTATATTATGCATTAAAATGAAGCTTTAAATTGGTAAAATATTTAAATACATTAATTTTTAGAATAGTTGAGTTATTTTTCTATTAAAAAATAATTATAACTTTAAAATGTTGCGCTTTCAAAAGCTTTAAATAGTAATTTATTTTAATACGTGTATCAGTTCTGTATAGTATATTTAGTTAAAATATTTTTCGTGAAGTTTTTATTTATGTATTATGATATTTTAGTAATTACAAAAATATAATAAATGACTACAATCGATTTTAATTGGAATAATTATTTCTGTAATGATTTATTCGTATTATTATTTTAGGGTTATTTATAATACACCATAATCGTATAAAAATAATAATTCATAGAAAATAAGTAAATAACAAGTATGTTAGATCCACGTATATTATTTAGTATGTAATATATTATTATCTTTTTTGGACGTTTCGGTAGTTACTATACTTGATATAAATTATGCGTGTGTATACTACACACGTACCTGAGTATTTCGCATAATTGTACACAACAAATATTACATAAAATATATTGCATTGTATTTTATTTGCATAGTCACGTGTAAGACTCATAAAGGTATTACACACGCGTTATAGATTTTTTTACTTAGGTAGTACCTAATAGATACATAATAGTATCTTCAGTGTCGGATTAAACATTTGGGACCCTTAGACAATTACAATTTTAGGTCCTACAACATTTTTTTTTACATACATTTTTAACATTACTATCTAATAATTATAATAAACAGCTTTAATAATAACCAAGTATTATTAATAAATAAAATCATGTTTATTAAATTTTTTTATTTGCGAGAAAAATTAATTAATCATACTATTTCTATTTTTTTCAAAATAATTTTATTACTATTACTGCATACAACACCTACAACTTAATATATATTATATTTCATAATGCATTTTGTCCCGTAAATTCTTAAATAAAATACAAGTATTATTAAATTAAAAAAAAATATAGTTTTCCGTTTTCACTGGGCCCTTTAAATGATTGAAGCTAATTGGTAATCCGGCACTGAGTATCATGCGTTAAGTTTCATATTAAACGTTTAACTAATACGTAGTGATGTATTATTTACAGGTTACTTAATTACATTTGAGAATTAGTATGTATACATTTTTGTATAGACATATATATATATATATATATATATATACACATATTTAGATATGGGTACTTGCGTAGTCGACTAGGAGGGCTTCATTGTTGTAAGGCGGTGAGTGAGATGGTGTAGGTTTTGTGGGTTCGTTATTTATATTCGTATAATATGTATATCGTCTCTTCGGGCTTCTTTCCGTTCACTTTATAATTTAGTATAAATTGAAACTGGACACTTTGTTGAACCTATATTGTGTAAAACGATTACCAATGCCTTACCTATATTATAATAAGGATCTGTGGTGTTTTTATTTATAGTATCGTAGAATTATTTAGATTAAACCACGGGGATTACGCCCAATAGTGATCAAATGTTTTATTTACTTAGTTATTAAATATTATAATATCTAGTATTTCATGGTTAACTATATAAAATGTGATTTACAAATGTAATTAAATATTATAATATATGATTTAAAAACTGATGTATAAGGTTGGTTTTTCGTATCATTGCACTTGGTAAGTAAATTTATTTATTTTTTACTTTTATTATAATATTATAAAACTATACTCAAAATATATTATGCCATTATGTATTATATATATATATATAATATACCTATAGATTAAGAAAAACGAGCTGTTGCATTTTATCAAATTCATTTAATATTCACTGTTACACCAGAGTAAAAATGTTAAATATAAATTGGAACGTTTTGTTTAAAAAAATATGGTATTACTTTTACGTAATTGTCGAAGTGTAATAAACTATTACTACTACCACTAATACTACTCAACGTTAAAATATCATAAAAATTAAAATATATTCCTTGTTCTGCTCAGAATCTAAAATAGCTTATTTATGAACGCTGTATGTAGAAATAATTAGGAATCTGATAATAAATTTTAATATTTGGTATTTCATTTACAGTTTTTTTGTGGCTTATCGCGTGGACACGGAATAAAAAAATTACCTGCGAGAACTAGAAAATATTTTTTCCCGCAATGACGCAATTAGTCCTAAAAAGTATGGGAATAATATATTATCTAAAAATTGTATGCTTTAATTAGGCAAGTCTATTATATACCGTTTTCGATGTTGTAAGAGAATTTACCGAAGGAAATATATTTGTAATATTTTGCGGGAAACAAAGAAAAACGGTCGAAAATCGAAATTTGACTTTTCCTACCGAAATCGTTTAGTTTGCGGTTCAACGAAATAAGTAAGTAATAAGACTTTCGGTGAACATTTACTACCTGTACATTTTATTTTTTTATTTTCTTAAACACCATTGTAATACATGATCGACATCCATTCCTTTGTCCAGAATCAAAAACGCGATACGTGCGAGTATTATTATTATTATTATTCTGCACAGATCTCGGTCATTCCGAACTATAAAAAAAAAAAACCTAGTACACTCACTACGTACCGCGTTCATATCTGTAATATTATTATATTTTATCCGTACAATAATAATCCTTGTACAGTCGTCTTATTCTTTAAAACACTATGCACATACATAGCCTTAGACGCATAGGTACGGAATACGTATACGTATATGTACCTATCAAACTGTGTTATTAAAATCGTGACGAACACTAGTGCACGTTGCAGTTAAGCCTGTCCGTCCGAGGTTCTACACACAATACGCGCGTACACGTCGTGTTATTATTTTGTACCACACTCGCGCGCACACGTATACGTATATATTATGTGCGTACATACATTTTTGTCAAGATCCGGGCCAGCCGGCGGCTCGGTAGCGGAACGGACACTTAAAACGCAATGTATACAGGGTGTACGACGCGAACGTGTGGCCTAATTGTACGTTGGCAAGGACGAACCTGCGATTTTGCTCTCAGACATTGTCGCGCGGTCGTCACACGTAAAATGTCTTATGCACGTATTACCGGATTTACGAAATACGCGCGTGTGTTCCAAATATTCGGTAGGTACCCAAGTACAATGGTGTAATAGAAAAATAAACGATTGAGAGTATAAGAATTAAAAATCGCGCGCAGCGGACCCACCAGTCGAAAACAATAATAAACGTTTTAATTTTACCGGAGAAACGGAGGAACACGTTCGCTGACGCCTCCGCAAATGTACAGCCCTCTCCCCCGCCGAAACCCAAACAGAGAGGGGACAGTCCTTGTCCGGACGACAGTAGTCGCCGTTTCGACACGTTCCATCTGTATGAACATTTAACTGTTATGTTAATCGCGACCCCCAAAATCGTGTTCACGTATGACGCCGCGACGGTCGACTCGTCGAACACTCTGTACAATAATATGCGCGCGTAATTCTCTATCTACGGTCATTGAAACGAGCGGACGGCCGCGGCTGTCACACCGCCGTCGAGAAACCACTGTGCCACCTCGTGCGGGCCCGGAGGTCTTCAACCTCCTTGAAACGGACGCACGACGCGGTGGGGAGGTTGTTGAACTACACAGAGAGAGATAGATAGAGGGAGAAATGAAAAGGGAAAAAAATGGTAAATAATAAAAATAAAAAGACACCAACACAATTGTGCGCGTACGTGTGCGGCGGTGGGGAGCTGTGATAGCGCGATTTTTGTTATTTCTTTTCATCGGCTCCGGCGCGTCACGGTGAGCGAATCAAATACGTACTGCGCGCGTAGCGTACGGCACCTATCTGCACGCAAGCGATGCTCGCATTTGCACGGCTCACGGCGGCACACTCGTTTCAGGTATAGAGAGAAAAAAAAAATATATATAAACCCCATTTCGCGGACACGCACCGGCCGTCCGTCCGATTCCGTGAGTCGTCCGTTTGTGCGTGCGTGCGCACACGTACCGATCAGGGTACACCCGTGACATCCACGGCAACAGTCGACGTGTAACGCTGTTGTTACGCTCAGCGCCGGACGACGACGACGACGACGCGCGCGCGCCCGCGCACACACTGTCAACTCGCGCAATCGCCGATCGGTTTGTTGTTGTTGTTATTTTTGATTGCTTATCCGACAGGACCTACGGCACCAGCAGTGATACGACGACCGTAGCGGACACGACCTGCGTTTCCGGGTGCGCGACATGCGAATGGATCAACGTCGTCCGTCTTAAAACCGCGACCGCTTTCCGCCGAACGTCTCCCTTGTGACGTGACATAATAACAGCGTAAGAGGTCGGTATTGACCGTCCGGTAAATGTTAACTGTTGCTAAACGTCCGTCTCTCGTTTTGTAGCATCACCAGGAAGAGTGCCGGTGCTTAGCGACATGCTCAAATTCATTCGCGGCAAAGGCCAACAGCCTTCGGCCGAACGCCAGAAGATCCAAAAAGATTTGTTCGCCTTCAGACGGGTAAGTACAAATTGTTTTGCGCAATGTGTTGGCTTTTTATTTTCTCGCCGTAGTCCGTTCGTAAACACGGAACAATAATGTGGATTGTTTTGACTGTTTTTTTTTCACTCTGTTCTCAACTGATACTATAATCAATGTTTACACGTTGGTTTGTTGTTTGTTTAACTTCGTAATGAACAATACAAACAAAAAACATTTTTGTTTTTTAAATCATACACGCACCTGATTTACACAACAAATAGTGTGATTCATTTGAAAATAGATTATTTTCGCTTAGCATTTAACTGTTATCAGTGGCATTACATTCATACTAATCGTTCTTCATATTTCAGACTTTACAGTATGGATTTCCAAACAAACCAACAGCACTTGCTTGGGACCCATTATTACGTGTTATGGCTATTGGCACTTCAACTGGATCGATTAAAGTGTATCCTTTATTTAATTTAATTATTAATATTAAGATCCTCGACCAAATTATTGATACTGATTTTTACTCAGTAATCACATGTTTTCCCCTATGTTAGGTTAGTAACAATTTAACTAAAAAAATGTAAAAGTGTATTTTTCTTGACTAAACTTGTGTAGATTGGGTAAAACTGGCGTTGAGTTTTATGGTCACTTACCATGTTCTGATCAAGCGATTACCAAGTTATTATTTATTCCTAATCAAGTAATTATTATTATATTACTTATGATTAAGATTAAAATAAAAATATTTATTAATATTATGCTAATAAACGTTATAAATAATTTATTTAGGGTCGGTTGGTATCATTGTCTGACGACAACAGTCTTCATTACTGGGAAATAAATGACATGGCCATTGATGAAGTCCAATCATATCTGTTAGAGGGAAAGTGGGTGTTAAAATTATTTTTAATTTGTAGATGAATGTTAAATGATGTCAATTGATAATTTAAATTTTAACCTTTTATAGACTTAAGCAAATATCCTCAATGTGCTTGGAATCAAGTTGTGAACATTTGTTACTTGGAACTGAAGGGGGAAATATTTTTTTTATTGACTTGTCTACATTTGAATTGTCGGATAATATTATTTATCAAGATGTTGTGATGCAAAAGTATGCTTATATTATGTAAATAATATGTTGAAAATAAAATTTCATTCACTTTTTAAATTTTACCATAGGGTTACAGAAGAATATAAGAAAAATCCTGGTGCTGTAGAAGCCATAGCGGAACAACCCGGAAATCAAAATCATATTTTGATAGCTTATAATAGAGGGTTAATTGTTTTATGGGATCGTTTGAACTCTGTGGCCGTAAAAGTAAGATAATGAATTTTTTTTTCAAACCTAATCTTAGTTTTAATTTTTAGATCTCTGTGCTTGAATATATTATCTGAATTTATTAGTAAATATTTTGCTTCTCTTTATTTTTTTTTTAGACTTTTGTAAGTAGTCAGCAAGTAGAAAGCATATGTTGGGAAGAAAATGGAGAAAGCTTTTATTCGTCCCACAATGATGGGTCAGTTACACTTTGGAAAATAAATGAAACATCTGATGAAAATGAAAATACTAAAACAATTTATGGACCATTTCCATGTAAACCAATTCCTAAAATTGTTTGCCAACAATCTGCTCAAGACCTCAAGTAATGTTACCTTAATAAATTAAATATATGTTATAAATGTTATTCATTTATTTTTTATTAATTTTTAGTGAAAAATTATTAATTTTTACTGGAGGGATGCCACGAGCATGTTATGGTGACCGTCATGCTGTTACTGTACAATTAGGAACTGCTAAACATGTAGCTTTTGAGCTCACTTCAAAAATTATTGATTTTTTTACAACAACTGCTTCAGTTGATGAAAAAGGTAATATGAAATTATTGCACCAAATTAATATTGTTACTATAGATTGGTAAATTATTTTAGGTTGTAGTTTCCTTATAATTCTTGCTGAAGAAGAAATAGTTGGTATTGATTTATCTACTGAAGATTGGCCTTTGATTCAGTTACCATATCTTGTATCAATTCATGCAAGTGCTATCACATTTACTACATATGTTTCTGATTTAAATGAAGACTTATGGAATAACATAATAGCTGTTGGAAACCTACAAAATGAAAATAATTTTTCTTCAAATGTGAGTTTAAAATAGCATTAAATTTTTAATAGTTATTAATTATAAAAATTGTATGTCTATTTTACTATTTTAAAAAAATTATTGTATTTTATTTAATACTAGGAATGGCCTGTTGATGGTGGTGAAGCTAACATTGATGATGAACAAAGCAGAGACCTCTTAATAACAGGCCATGAAGATGGTTCTGTTAAATTGTGGGTTGCAAATGCTACACCGTTACTTCCTATATATGTGTTCAAATCGTCTTGGGTATTAGTTGGCGATGATGCTGATAATCATTCCAGTAACAGTGTAGTTCCAGAGGAGGAAGAAGAAGAATGGCCACCATTTAGAAAAGTTGGAAATTTTGATCCTTATTCGGATGATCCTCGATTAGCAATTAAAAAAGTTATCCTTTGTCCTCGGACTGGTACAATGATTGTTGCTGGTACAGCTGGCCATGTCATAATTTCTAAATTTAATGAAGAATCATCTTCTAATGAAATAAAAGTAATATTTAAACATTTTTCAAACATTTGAAAGATTTTACTCATATTTTTATTTTATATTTATAATTCAGGCTGTACAAATGAACGTTGTTGGAGAAAGCTTTGTATGGAAAGGTCATGAACGTTTAAGTTTAAAACAAACTGGAGATGAAACTAATAATAATAATGGCAAAAATATGACTTGTCTTACGTTTAAAGCTGGATTTCAGCCTTCGTCTGTTTTACAAGTATATCCTCCAGCATCAATTACAGCTGTTGCTTTACACTCAAATTGGTCTTTGGTTGCTGCTGGTACAGCTCATGGTCTAGTGCTTTTTGATTATTATCGACAAGCTCCAGTGTTGACAAAATGCACTTTAAACCCTAATGGTTATTATTGAATTACAACTATTTAAAATATAACGTTTTAAATATTTAAAAGTTTCTATTTTTAATTTGAAGATTTGTCTACTGCTGGAGATACTCCTATATCCAGAAGAAAATCATTTAAAAAGTCTTTAAGAGAATCATTTCGAAGACTACGAAAAGGAAGGAACTCTACTAGAATTGCTAATGATAAAAAAGGAGCAAGTATCACACCTGATAAAAAAAGAGAAAAGTTAGTTTTTTATTATGGTCTTCATAACAGTTATATATTATATAATTATATTTTTAAAATTATTTATTTTAGTTCTGGGACTTTATCTCCAATGGAAGCACGACCTGTAGAACGAGCAATTGAAGCTAGACCAGTTGATGATGCTTTAGGAAGTATGGTTCGTTGCTTAAGTTTTACAAAAACATTCATTGTAACAGGTATTTCATTATTTTGCATATATGTAAGTTCTATTGAAATTCCAGGTTTCAAATATCCTTATATTGCTGTAATGTTTTTTAATAAAGGCAAATTAAAAATAAATAAATAAGTAAATATAAAATATCCTAATATTAAGCTAATAAAAAGCTTAATATAATAATATTTAAAATAAAAATTGTCTGGGTAATTGTCTATGTAATTTAATAACTCCCTAAATTCTTTATTTTTAATTAAGAATGAAACTATAAATTAATATTAAAATTAAAATATAATTTTAGTATTTTTAGTATACAAGGTAAAGTTATATTTTAATTTTAAGAATTTTTAAAAATATTTATCTTAGTACAGTACTGTATAGATACTGGATAACTTGAAAATCTGAATTTTTGTGTAGTCATTATTATAAATATTAAATATTATACCATTATTATATTTTTAATATTGATTTAGCATCACACATTACTCCAACAATGTGGGCTGGTACCAATAGTGGTTCTGTATACATTTTTACCATTAGTATACCACCAAATGATAAACGAAAAGAAAGACGAGTTACTGCCCAATTAGGAAAAGAAGTCCAATTAAAACACCGTGCACCTGTGATTGGAATCACTGTGATTGATGCAGAAAATCGATCAGTCATTGAAGTCCAAGAAAATAGTACTCCAGGTAAACCTTTAGATATTTGTGGTCCTCACAAGGTTATCATTGCATCCGAAGAACAATTTAAGGTATTTTATTTATTTTAAAAACTGTGAATTTATTGTATTAAATTATTTTCTTGTTTTATTTTAGATATTTTCTTTACCTAATTTAAAACCAATGTGCAAACTTAAACTAACAGCAGCTGAAGGTGCTCGAGTTCGACGAATGTCAATGGCTTATTTCAAAATAAATGATTATGCAGAAAGTTGTCTTCTCTGTTTGACTAATTTAGGTGAAGTAATAGTACTTAGTGTACCAGACCTCAGAAGACAAATACATGCTGCAGTTATTCGTCGAGAAGATATCAAGTATATTTTTTATTTATGAATGTATAATATATTTGTATTAAAATAATTTTTATTTGATTTTCCAGTGGAATTTCAAGTTTAGTGTTCACACGCTATGGAGAAGCTTTATATTTACATTCAAGTAGTGAACTTCAGAGGATTTCTGTATCTGCAACTAGTGTTACACAAGTTGATTGTTCTTTAAACTTACCTGATAGAGATCGAACCCCACAGAGTAGATCTATTACGCCTATTAATGGGTATACTGATGATGAACAAGAAGATTCTCCTAAAGTAAATGGTGCGTATTTATTTAAAAAATGTGTGTAGGTAACAACTAAGGCTAGGATTTTAATGATCCTAAAAACCTAAAAAAAAAATGACCTTAAAAATTGCCCAAAAGATAAAAAATGATCTTAAAATACTATAAAAATGTATTATTAACTATTGATTAATATTTCGGTACAAAATTATATAAATTATAATATGAAAAAATAGCAATAACAATTTTAATTTATTTAATTTTATTTGTATAGTTTTCAAAAAAATTTCATAAAATCAGATGAGTTAATTTATGTAATGGTATATTTGCACTTTAAAATTCTTAGTTCAAATTTAGATTAAAACTAGAATATCTGTACACAGAATACATTGGTTGTGTTAAAGAAGTTGTTTGCTCGTTTCATTTTTTGAATACCACGTAAATGTTTATTGCGTATATTTTGCTGAAATGTATATTTTTTATCTGCTGCAACTTTAACTTCACAGACTTTGCAATATATCATTGAACCATCAGCGCTAAATTCCGAAACAAAGACGCATATGAATAGATTGCTATGATTTTTGTTTCGGCATATTACACAAATATGATACGCAATCCAAAAGTAGTGACACTAACTAAATAAGTATTTAACAAAACCATATGTATGTACTTTCCACATCCCTTGAAATTTAATTCACACATAACAATTAACAATTAAGATAACTCGCGGTATAAAGATTATTGTTGTAATATATAAGTAATATTATTAGCAATAGCGAGTTTTAATACACTATCTTTATAATTGAAATATTGAATATGATATTATTTCTGTTAAAAATTTAAAATTTCTATCGACAACATCTACTGTTAACTAAAATTTATAAAAATATTACCCAGATTTCAAAAAATTATAAAAAATATAACGTTGAAAAAATGCTACAAAATGACCCCAAATTCAATAAAGTACAATAAACGCAGAAAATGCAATATAAAAACTATATATTTGGTCTTGTAGTTGATGAAATCACATTTTGTGTTTGATAAGCTATATCCTGTAAATCCTAAGAAAAATATGCAAAATCCTATACTATCCTAGTCCTAGTAATAACTAATCAATTAATTTAATATTTTTACATTAATAAATAAATTTAATTTTTTTTATGATACAGGATTAACAAATGGTACACAAGAAAACGGCGATAGTAATTCACAGTTAAACAATAGCAATGATCTTTCTGTTGGGGATATTACAATTGATTCTATTAAAGACCACTTAGGAAAGTAAGAAAATCTACCATGGGCTTACTTAATTATATTCTTAGCTTTATATAATAATACATTGTTCATTTTTAGTTCAAATTCCAATTTGAATTTAACATCAACATCAAACAATGTTGAAATTAATAACCATCAGAAAACCGTCACTAAACATGAGTTATCTTCGACTACTACAACTACTGTGAAGACATCAAATTCGACAACAGTGATTACTAATGAAACTATTACTGTTGACAGTAAGTCTAATTTTTAATTAGCGTTAATAACCACTAAAATATAATATAATATATATTTTGATAGTGCTCTTAGTTTTTGTTTTGTATTTTTGTTTTAATGATTGTGTAGTTACGTATTTGCACCTAAATAGTTTTTTTCGTTTGTCAGATATATCCACAAGTTTAGTTGTAGAAGATGATCCATCAACACAGGCCAAATTTGAGGTTAGCCAGTCCTAAAAAAATATGGCTAATATGTAAACTTGTACTTTAGTTTTCATTTATAATTGTAATAAGCAGATTAGTCAAATTTCTTCTTAAATTGTTTGTGCATTTATGAGCATGCCCAAATTGCTCTTTGCTAATTCTGCATAGGCGTGTGCATGAGTGCAGTGAATGTTGCTTTTGCTGCACCTGACGATTTATTTTTGATTTAGTGGGTTGGTGGATATTTATTTGAAAAGCATACATAGAATGAATAATTTTTTAAAATATTAAATTTAAAATTTAAATAATTTACAAATATTTAACTTTATTCAAATTATTATGAAATTCAAATTATATTGTTTATCAATATAAGAAGTTGAAAAATAAATGGGTTTTATATTGACGGGGTAATCCAACATACAAGCTAGACATACAGATTCAAAGTAATACAATATATTGTAAGACTATTAATTTTATGTAATTTCTATAATTCTTTTATAATATTATGATAGTTATTAATTTAAAACTATATATAATATATTTTATTATATTATATATAATTATGATTATTTTTTTATTTACTATATTTCTCAATTTCATGATGAGGGAAATAAATGGGCTGTTTATTGTTTTGTTGGTTCGGTTAAAAATGTGGTTAAAAATGTATGCTGCACTCTACACAAAATCCTATGCACGCCTATGTAATTCTGCTACATATTTTGTCCAGCTTACAAGTAGTATCAATAAAAATATATTTAAAATGTAAAAAGGTAGATTATTGGTGTGGGTGAAATAACTGACCATAAATTATTTTAAGCCAAGGAGTATGGATTATAGCTGTCAACTAAAATTTGTATTTAACGTTAACTTATACATTGAATAGAAGTCTGATATAATATATATTTATATATTATATGTGTTATGTATGAATTGATTCAAATACCTATTATATTATAAATTAAGTTTTTATAATGAAAACTTCCTTCAAAATATTTAATTGGTGCAAGGGTGGACTTTAAAATATAACTAATTAAAAATGTAAATAAAGAATTCATTATAATATTAATAATATATTAATAATAAGTATATTTAAAGATATAATATCATGGGTGGACCATATAAAAAAACTCATACTGATTTGTCTTTATATATTTCACAATACAAAGAAAATACCAACAAATTTTACATGCCCTTATATAATTATAGAGAGAGAAACAACTTTTATTTAAAAGTTAGCTTGCCAAAAGATAGCATAATATTCAATATACAAATAAATCAGATTATTTGAATTTAAAGTGCAAATAAATTTATTAATTTTTTGTAAGTAAATAATATTATATTTACTCATAAAACAGCTGTAGTGATTGTACTCTGTTGTTTAATTTTAAATTTATGTAATACTGTAAAAATTTAAATTTAATAATATATAACTATCTAAGGGTTTTTTAATTTAATGGCCACAATATTATATTTTTAAATAAAATCATATATAAATGTAATTCAATTACATAAATTATAATATATAATAATGATTATAATATATTAATAAATAATTTAATGTTATCTTTGGAATACATTTAAAGGATGTAAATGTTTGTGAAAGTATACATCTGAGTTGATATAATATTATATTAATTTTAAATTCTTAATGCTCTCTAAGGATTTATTAATTTAAAAAAGGATTATGTTATTTTATTACCTTAAATTGAGTAATATTTGTAAAAAAAACTAAATTAAATAAATATCGTGATTTTATTTTTTATTAGAATTTCACAGTCATTTACAATTTTTTCATATGAATAAATATCCTAAACAACTAATAAAATTATTGTTTTATATTGATTAATAACTATTATTAAATAATATGTTATAATAATTTACTTATTATAATATTATACTTATTATTATTTATATTTATGTAGAAGCTTTTTTTATTCTAATTTATGCACACATTTGTTAATATTTACAATATTCAATATATATATATATATTTTTTTTTTTTAGATACTTAAGGCTCCTTTAGCTCTTATGGAAGACCTGGAAGTAGAGACAGCTGCATAATGTGATAACTAATAATGCGTGTGCGATTAACTCGACATATACTCAATGTAAATGTTATTCGCGACATATAAGTCTAACATTAAATTCTTAATATTAATTTTTTAGTTATTAACTACTAACAAATATAAAACTATTAGTATGACAAAAATGATTTTTGTACCTGTTTTTCAGGTAAAAGTCCAATATTCCTATCGCATCTTTTATGTTTTTTTTTTTTTTTTTACACTAAATATATAATGTCATAAAAATTGCACTTATACAAATTTTTCACCATTTTTAACTTGGATTCATTTATGGTGTTTTAGAGAAGCATGCTAAAATAAAACTATTTTTTTTTTTTTTTTAGAAAAAAATTACACTATTTTCATGACATAAATTTTATAAATTTTAGATTTTGATAAATTATATTATCTATATTCTTTTATTGTATTTAAAAATAATATTATTTTTTTTATATTATATTCTATTTTCTCTGGAGTTTTCATTCATTTGAATTTGATAAAATATTTTATATTCATTTTAAATGGTAGTAATCAAGTAGGTATGATAGTATTGTATGTATTAAGTAATTTTGATCATATGTAACTCAATTAAAAATTCTCCACTATTTTCAAATAAGATTACTCTATTCTTAATGTTGCATTATTACGTTAAATAGTCAAATAAAAAGGATACAATATTTTATAAATGTTTTACATTCAGTGTGTCATGCGAAGAATTAATTGATTTAAAAAACATTCCATTATACAATTTATATTAAAACTATTATTTCAATTCCTAAATTGTATGAGCACTGTCTAATTTTTAATTATTTTTTTACTACTCAGTGTTTATATTTCATTATGTTATTCGTTTTTTCCGTTTAGATATGGTGTAAAAATTAAATATAAAGATCTCTTGCAAATATGGAGTTTTATATTATTATTTCTTTTTAATCAGAAATGTTGTTTGTAAATATTTTAGTCAATTATTTATTATAATTTTTATACCTAATAAATTAAATATATTAACAAAATATTATTTTATATAATTGAACAGTTTTTATATGTATTTAATAATGTTTAATTTTTTATATCATATGTTCAATTTGTCATTTTTTGGCCAATATACTGTTTCTAATTAATATTTTATATATATATATATTTATATGTCATATTTCTATTTTCTACGTGATTTTTATAATGTTGACATTGTCTTTTTTTTGTTAAACTTGTATGTAGTAATTACTTTGTAATTTACTGAAGTTTACTCTTTATTAGGTAATCTACAATTAAAAAAAATCTGGCTCTCAAACTGAAAATAAACAAAAATTTTTGTTTTAAATCATTCATTAAAAATGTTTAAGGTGATGGTATGTACTATAGGTTTAATATTGATAGTTTTTAAAAACATTTATTTTGTTTTTTAAAACAAATTTTATGTAACCCATATATACTTTGTAAACACCAACTTTATTATAATACAATTTGTAACCATTTTTAATAAAAAAAAAAATCTGTTTTTTTTGTTTGTAATGTGGCTACCCTTGTTGTTTCCATAGCAACCCTTTAGCGCCCTGAGGCGGGTCAATAATTAAAGGTGGAGGCTATAATTGCAGTACTGCAGATGACTGGGAAAAATATGGTAAAAATAAAAATATTTCATAAATTATTTGTTATTGGTAAATTATATATTTTTTAAAACCATGACTGTTGGGAATCGTTATTGGGTGGCTCTGTTTTCTCAATTACTTGTTTTATCTGCTAGTGTTATTTTGTTTTTGATTCCAATTTATCTGCTTTGGAGTCACATCACTTTTGAGCAAAATCATTTATCTAATTATAAGTAAGTACATATTTACGTATTATTGATTAGAAAATAAAGCGGTATTAATTACTTGTGTTTCAAAAGGACAATAGTAATTGACTTGTTAGAACATTATGAAGATAAGTTACATGTTTATTGATGTTGATTTGATTTAAGTTGCGTCCTAAACTTTTAAAACATAATTTAATAATTGCATATTGAAAAACTATGCCAGTATCATTTGAAAAAATTAATTTATAAGCCATTTTTTGATGAAAGTAATTTTTGAATAATATTGAAATAAAAAAAATTAACTATAAGTATTTAATAGTAATTACCAGGGCTAAAATTTATATGCAATAAAAAATTGTAAAATATGCATTTTATTTATCAAAATATGCAAATATATGTATTAACATTTTTATAGGGTAAACAAAAATATAGGTTCAAAAAAAATATTTATTGAAATACATCAGTGGTTGGCTGTTTGTCATAATATAATATAATTGAAAAATAAAATTTATAATTCATATTCACTGCGTGTGTTACATGCTATGATCACATACTTTTTTAAATTTTTGAAAATGAATGATCGGCGATTGTATCGTAGTATGGCTTTGTATTAACTGAAGCTCCGTTCAACGTCACATGATGTAGTTGGCAGATATTTAAATAAATAAATTTGTCCTGGTGTTAGGTTACAACTGAAATTGTCCTCGTCCGATTTTCCATTTAATATTTTATATATTGATTATAGAGTTTTAAATCCTTTATTTTTTAGTAAATCCAAATATATTTTGTTCATAACTTTATAACTTTTGTTATAAAAATAAAATTTATGTTTGATAAAAAAAAGAAGTTTTATATTTTAATCGGCAAAGCTAGAATTAAATACTAAATATTAATATAAATTACGAAATATACCATATAACATTAATTTTTCGCATTCTTATAATCAAAATATGCAATAATATTCATTTTATCCAAAATATACAAAATAAAATTACCACCATTCAAATCATCATGAGATGATTCATGGACATTACCTACTGACAAAATCAATAATTAGAAGTCGCAAAAAAAAAACATGCTGTTACATACACATCCTATCCTTGGTAAATACTAATTATTTGAAATCAATATTAAGTAAAAACTATAATATCTATGACCAAACGTGAATTATGAATAATACACTATTCATTTTTATGTAGTTTATCTATTTATATTTATCTTAATTAATTATATTCTAGATGTCAAATTATATTGACTTGGTAATTTGTCTTATTGTTAGTGACGTTGATAACCTGTCAATAAATACAATAGGCAAGTTACGTCCGAGAATGTGGGACACAATTAGCTTATCATAATATGAGAAATTCTTATTAAAAATTTGTGTAGGGTACCAAGTAACATAGTGTAAGCGAAAATAGTTTAACAATTATAATTGGATTTGCAAATCAATTTTTTGAAATTCATTAATTCTTTGATATAGACCTCATGTGGTTGCATTAATATTGGCTCGAGGAGGTAGCAAAGGAATACCGAAAAAGAATTTAGCAGAAATACAAAACTCTACATTACTCCGAAGATCTTTAGACACCATTAATAAATGTGGACGTATGAAAATAATCCTAATATATGTACATTTATATATATATATATATAATATTAATACATTTATTTAATTTCAATTTCAGTGTTTCAGGATATTTGGGTGTCAACAGATGACAAAGAAATAGCTGCTGAAGCTGAATTAGGGGGTGCCAAAGTTTTTCATCGTAATGCAGCAACAGCTTCAGACGAAGCAACATCACTTAGCGCGGTTAAAGAATTTAGTATGTACCATCAAAAAGTTGACATTTTCGCCGTGATACAGTGTACCTCTCCATTTATGACGGTTGAATATCTAACTAGAGCCTATAGAATGGCAGTGCATCAAAAATTTGATTCTGTATTTTCAGTAACACGTAGCCATAAATTACGTTGGAAACTTGATTCTGGTAAACTTTACTGCTAATATTTTCTCAAATGATTGTAATGTATGATCAATTTTACTTAAGTTATGGTCTTTAATAGATGGTCAACTGCAACCATCTAATTTCGATGTTACCAAACGACCTAGAAGACAAGATTGGGATGGTGAATATGTGGAAAATGGAATGTTTTATTTTGCGCACAAAAAACTTATTGTAAATAATAAACTCCAAGGGGGAAAGTAAGTGTTTTACTTATTTTAAAAGGCTCATAGATATTTAATAAAGTAAGTAATTTATTTTTAGATTGGGTGTTGTTGTTATACCTATGAATAGAAGTTTGGAAATTGACACACCATTCGATTTGCAAGCAGCTCGCCTTTTAGCTCCATTATTGGATACATCGAAAAATACTACTGAAAATTCTAGCCAAATTACCAAAAAATCACAAGTCAATTGAAAAATATGAGGCAAATAAGTTCTTTTATTGATTAAAATGTAATGTATTTGTAAATATTATTGTTTAAAATGTAAAGATTTTAAAAATAAAGTAGACACCAAAGTACACAAAAAGTATACAAATGTATTATTATAAACATTTTTTATATTTTAATTATAATATATTGGATAAAAATACTTTTAATAAATATGATAAATTAGTAACTACAGTTGATATTTAACTTCATACATAAGTATATATGTTGTACCTACTATTGTTTTTATAGTGAATAATTGGATTAGAAATTGTTAGATATTAACAGTAAATTTGAATCACATTTTTTTTAAAAAATATCTATTAATTGTTGTATAAAAAATTTAAACATGAAGACTTATTGTTTAACTATATAATGTTAGCGATAGGTATTTTTAGAGATTTGCATATCATATTAGATTCGACTAAATTGCGGCAAGTATATTTAACATTAGTAGAATCGGTCATTAACTATGGTATAATTGGTTGGGGTGGTGCGTTCAATAATGTTCTAAAAGAATTACAAGTCTGTCGAAATCAAATATTGAAAGTAAACTTTAATAAAACACTAAGATACCATACTGAAAATCTTTATAAAGAATTAAAATTACTTCCTATACAAAAATTATATTATAAAACGATCGTTATATCCTAAAAAAACATAATATGATAAATCCTAAACCACATAACATTAATACCAAGTATGCTAAAAACAATTTTTTAAAAAATTGGCTGAATAAAACCACTTCAGGTAGACATTTTCAAATAGTAGGTACCGAAATAATAAATACAATTTAATGATTATTAGATTTAGATGATTCAATATGATAATAGTAGGTGAATTGTTATAATTTATATTTATTTATGTATGTATATTCATTAGCACTTTTTTCTCTATTCTTAATTATTATGTATTTGCTTTCTATTTGTATCATGTATTAATGTAAGAACTCCTGGGCCCCCAACCTCAGTGGGGCCCAGTATTCATTGTATGAATTAAAATTAAATAAATAAATAAATATATCCCATATGTAGAACAACGGTATAGTGGCACGAAGTTAAGTAAGAAAAAAAACTAATACATTTTATAGAATAAATAAATAATAATAATATATATAATAATCACTAATTGTTAATCAGCAACAATTGTAGTTGAATTGAAATATAAATTTTGAGCTGAGCATGTTTTAATAATACATCTAAATGCGATAGCATATGTGTTTGTGCTTTTTTCTGGCAATAAGTAATAGAATAATGGAACATACGTCCATTTTTAAAAATATGAACCGTAAACAGTTGATAGAAATATTTTGGGCAACTATAAAATACACCATCTACAAATATTTTGTCACTAGAGCATAGCAATTTTAAATTAGAATTTGTAAAGTAGAATAAAATATTATTTGCTGTCTCAGTATTTGTAGTAAATCTGCTGGAAACAATATTATGTATTTACAAAATCCGAAAATGTTTTAATATTATAATATATATGTTATATTCTTATATACGTATGTAAATCTTCGGCGGAATCAATATATAAAAATATTCGGCGCAATCAATATATACAGATATTCAGCGGAATCGATAAACTCCCTTAAAAAAAAACTACACAAAAGTCGATTCTGAGTGGATTCGAAGTGGATCCGACATTAGATTAAAAAAAACTTAAATTTGACTTGTACATTTTAAGTCTGAATTAAAGAAAAAATTTGAGTCGCCCCTCCCCCCTAGAAGTAAGTCTAAATACGCTCCTAAGTCGTGAATACATAAACGAATAGTTATAATTGTGAATGGAACTTTAAGATTATATAATTACTCCGCGAAATTTTTTTCTTTAGTTGACATTTGCCGAGTCAAATGATAACTACATTAATATTTATTATGTTCAATATTGTGTAAAATGATTAAAACATTGTAGATTCTCTCAATTATGTCATACCAATAAATTTATAGAATTATCATAATACCAAATCCTGGTCAATTATTTGTAGTCAGTAAGACTACAAATTGACGCCCAATTAACCCGAGTAAATAAATATGTAGGCTGTTCAAAAAGTAATGATAATAATGATGCTGAGGAAAAATTTGTTGTAAAAGCTGCTCACAATGCATACTATCGTATATTCCATTATCTTATCTATCTACATGCCGAGTTACAAGTCGAACGGTGCAGTGAGTCGACGCTTGTGATCAAATGTATCAATTTTTATAACGTGTGTTAGATATTCGCCTATCATTTCTAGTATGGATAATAAGTCAGAGAAACGTTGTAACTTGAAATTTTTAGTGAAACTTGGAATGAACCGAAAAAATGTATATGAATCATTAACATCAGTGTATGGTGTCAAATAACACGCTGTCCTCCAAGGCCGAACAGTCACGACCGACTATTATAAATCGGGTCGGAAATTCAACAGCAATCGGGAGGTCATCAAAGCTGTGGAGGCACCGTGCAAAGAGTTCGAGAAAGATGGACTGGCTCGTATTTAAAAAGTGGCAAGAATGATGGAAAAAGTGAATTATATCAGAGGAAGATTACTTTGAAAAAGTGCATGTAAATATGGATGATTAAATATTTTTTTTATATAACGTTTTTATCATTACTTTTTGAACAACCTACATAGGTTGCACCTATGTAGGTGCACGTAGGTGTAGCACGTATAGAGTCCATTACAACACAAATAGAATTATACGAGTAACATTGGACACAGAGTATCTGTCTCATCGTTGCTCCATCCTCGGTGTGCCGCCAAAAAAATAATATTTAAATTTTGTTTTCAATATTAAGCATTTATTGCAGATGTAAACAGATTTTATTCTTATGCAATCAGTGCTCGACTTGAGGGGGGTCGCAGGGGGACGCATTACCCCATGTCATTTTCAGAAATTTTAGCGTCTCCCTACTATTATTACGCTATAATCATAACGTTCAGCCAGTTTTGGGGACGTTCTTTTTTTTAAGTAAATAGAGTCTCCTTTCTTTAATTTTGCCAAGTCGAGCACTGTATGCAATATCATATAAAATACACATGGGTGCCACTGATCATTGTTATATTAGTACTAGGCGCCTCTTTGATTATTTTTTTAAAAAAAAAGGAAGAGAATTATAATACTGTTATGACAGAAATGATGTGGACAGGTGCGCTATAATATATTGTACAGCTTTCGGTGTCGGATTTATCCTTAACGGAACCGAATCGTCGACATGCATCAAAACAACAACGAAAAAAAAAAACCACTGGGATCGGTTTGACAACGATTTAATTGAGAAATTATGGCGATGAATAACCGGTATCCTTGACCATAGTCAAATGGCCGTCAACGTGGACGTTTTACAGTGGCGTAACTATCATAGGGTAAAGCGGGGCAGTGCTCCGAGGCAGGGACATCCCAAGGTTTTTCGGGGCCAGGGGAAAATTAATTTTAGGGCCCTTCGACCATAATAATAAGATTTGATAAACAAAATACTCACTGAAAATAACAACATTTTTGTAAACGTATTTTTCCAAACTTTAACCAATCAAGTCTCTTTTAAATTGGTGTATTGCATCACGTACTTACTACATACATAATGCAAATATGTTACTAACCGCACCGGTGGAGGAAATTGTTTTGACTGCGTGACTGATCATGCTCTTACGCGCGCATTGTATGACTGTATAATATATATGTGAATGACGCAAAGAAGATAATCTTTGTTTCAATAACGGTGGTCGGCGACAATTTGTTATTATTATTTATTATACATCAAGATTTTTTGGGAGCCCCTTAAAAATATTACAACAATGGGGCCTGGGGCAAAATGGTCCCGTTGCAACCCCCCCCCCCCTCTGAACGGCCCTGATCCGAGGCCCCGGGCCTTGGAATCCTTGAACAATTGTGAAACTTGACTCCCTTATAATCATTGAAAATGTTGATAAATTTAATTAAAAAAAAAACTTGTGGTAATCTTATAATTATTAATGACTATTTGGGCAAAGAATATACATAATGTTATAAAAAAAATCACGACGTAAATAATAATGATCAATATAGGACATTAAGAATATTAATCATGGAATATTGAGAATCGATGGATGGTTTGTAAATTATTTTTACAACAATAATAATGTACAGAGGTTTGTTGATGGGGGATTTATGGTGACTCAACCCCCCCCCCCCTCGAAATGTTAACAAGAATTTAAAAACGTAATAACATTTAGATGATAGAAAATTTTCCCATAGGTCCTAAAGTATACTACACATAGGGCTGGCGTTAGGGGTGGGCTAATTGGATATACGCCCAGGGTGCTTGTTGAAAGGAGGCGCCTCAATGATACAATTTTAAAACTAAAAAAAATAGTAGGAATATAATTCTAGTATTTTATTCATTCTATTTACTATTATTTATAACGATAGGTAGGTATATAATAATTTAGTCCATTGATAATAAATTATTTTTATTGTCAGTCACCGTTCATAATAGCTATTTATTTAGAATTTAAATATTCATTGTATCAGATAACGATTTAAAATAAAACAACTGCTTATTATAAGGGGACGGGCGCATATTTATTCGCTCAGGGCGCCAATGACTACTGCCGGCAGTGCTGGATTTAACCAGTGTATCGCTTTAAACACTAAAAAAAATTGCCGCCTTTTAATATAAATATTTTTATGGTATAAAAAATGTTATTAATGCATACAATTATAGTTGTTTCCTTCATTACTTGAAATTTTAATGATGTAAAATAAAAATATACAACTGTTATAAAAATGCATACATACATTCCATATGAAAAACTTAATTATAAAAATATGATATAAAATACAATGATAAAAAACATGATAGTAAAAAATGCTTAAATAGTTCATTTTTAAATTATATTCAAAATTAAATAGTTAGTGCCTAGTACCCAACGGCTTTATTGAAATAGAACATTTTACTATCAGTTGGATTTATTTTAGTTCTAGTTACATATAATAAAAATGTAATATTAAAAATTATTTGCCGCCCTAAACACTAGCTTATATAAATAATATAGTGTTTACTGGGAAATACGGTACTGACTACCAGTGGCGAATGCTAACTCTGATGCATGGGCATGCTGAGTGGCGTATTTATGGGGGGGCAGAGGTACTGCCCCCCCTTGGGGCCTCTCCAAAAAAAATAAAAAATAAACTAAAATTCTTACATATTTGCAGAATTGGCTATGTTAAACATTCGCAGGGAAGTTGAAATTACTATTAATAAAGTATTAGAGGAGTTGGCCAAAAAATCGAGACAACTGGAATTTATTTTATAACAATACTTTATAATATATAATGCTAAATACAATATATAAGTATATATATATAATATTACATTATATATTTAGTTCAACTTCTTCCAAAAACTGCCATAAGAACGTAACTATTACAATATAATATATAGTTTATATTAATTATGTATAAACTGTGGACCCCTCACCAGAAAAAAATGAAAATACGCCACTGGGCATGCTCATTTATCATAATGTTTTATAGTTATATTTAATTTATAATTAATAAATTATACACCCATTTTTATTGATTTATTAATAAGACTTTAATTTAATATATATACAATAGCACTTACAAGTAAAGTACTTATTATGTACAATTTGAGGGGGAAAAAAATATATTCTATAATCAACGATAATATCTAGAGCTGGGCCAATACCGATACCCGATATTAGGATTATTGGTTTAATCGGGTATCTGTGTTCTTTTTCCGAACCGATAGTAGTCTTCTATTATCTATGGATATAATGCAGTAGCTATAAGTAGCAATAACAGAAAATATATATTATACTTACAATGTTACCAACTAATAATTTATAATAGTAACAAAAGTGGCAGTCACTGTTATTTTCATACTGGCATAGAACATGTTCTATGGTAATGGAGTAGCAGGCTGTGATTACTACTTTAAAATCACTGATACTGCTATTTTATCTCAACACTAGTAGGTACATTATTCTTAAATAATGTATGTATGTATGTATAACGGAATAAAGTTTTCAAATAATGACAGCCGATATGGATAGACTAACTTCGAAAAGAAAATAGGAAACTTTGCCATCTAAAGCTAATACATACCAAACGTGTAAACCACTATGTCATTGTTTCCTGCTATCTTTGGTGATACACCTAGTTTGAACGCAGATGTAAAGGGTGAGTGTTTCTTTTTCTTCTCATTCGCCTTTCTCCCAATTATCCTGGGTCGGTTACCCTTGTCCTAAACCTCCACTCTTCTTGATTTTCTTCATCCCCTACGCACACAACAACAGCCCTAATATCATTCTGATATGAGTGTTATATTATATACCACTCATATATTAGTGTTATTTATTATATTATTTATTTTTATTTCAAACATTTGAAATTATTTTTTTAGTAAATGAAGAAAATATTCAATCAAAATGGCTTCAAAATTCTAGCTTCCATCCAGAAGCTTCAAATATAACAAATGAAGTTATAAAGGATGATAATTTGAAAAACAAAGATCATGAGAAAAGTGTTAGAAATTCTTATAAATTATACAAAAAATTACACGGAAAAAAGAAAAAAAAGGATAAAAAGCATATTACAAAAATTAAACGACAAAAGTGAGTTATAATTTGATTGTTTATTTTTTAAATCATGAACGTTGAATATTTACTAGTGTTTATTGTATCTTGAAAACCTGTAGGAAACACATAGAACATATTTTAAATGATTGTGATTTTATTACAATTGATCGAAAACGGGAACCAGGAAATTTAAAAGTTGATAAACTATATAGACCTGCAGCTCCCATGTAAGTTAATTGTTTAAATTTATTTAACTATTGTTAATTATCTTTGATTAACATTTTTAAACTGACTTTTTTTTTTATAGGTTTCGTATTAGTAATAAGTATCGTGTTCTAGATCATTGTGGATGGGTTAATAATTCTTATAAGCAAAAACATATTAAACGTTACTATACTTTTAAAGAAAAGGATTATGGTGATGGAAGTCTTGAGGTACACGTTGAGGAAGATTGCTTAATACAAAATAAAATGTTAATTCAAATTCCTAAAAAAATCAATGAAAATATTGAAAAAGTCGAGTTAAGTTCAATAAAATGTGAAAATAATTTAACAACTTTAACAGCTGAATTTAATAAACAATTATCAGAACATCCATGTGATATTGATACATGGATCAAATTTGTTCATCATCAAGTAAGATTTTATTTCTATTATATTGTTCAAAAATACCTTAATAATATTATAATATTGTTAATTGTGTATATTGTATTAATATTATTTAACAGGAAGCTTTATATTCTTTAAATAATGGATATGGTTATAAAAAGAAACTGAACAAAAAAGTTATCATAGAAAAGCAAATTGCTATTTTAGATAAAGCACTTTCACTTAATTGTGATAACGATAAACTATTAGAATTAAAATGGACTCTTGCTGAAGATTATTTTACTCCTGAAGAAGTAAGGTATTATAAATTAACATTAAAATAAATTCTTATTAAATTCTTCATTTATTAGTTTAACAGAGAGTTAGTTAAAGAATTAGAAAAATATAAGTCCGGTAAAGCATTATTATGGAATTATTATATAAATGCCAACCAGAATTCTTTATCAGAGTGTTCAACTTCTACTGTACTTAAAAGATACTCAGATGCTATGTTTGCTTTAAGTAAAATAAAACGAGGTTTGCCATTGAGTGAGCAATTGGATATACAACAAAACATTATTGGTTAGTTAATTAGTAAAATTAAATTTTTCTGTGTTCTCCCTGTGGATAAACTGAGAAAACATGGAAAGCTTTATATTAATATTACTTATAAAAGTAATAAAAAATATAAATATATCTATTTCTTTATTTGATGTTTATGTTCTAGAACTGTTTATGAAGTGTGGGTTATTTTTGAGGCAAGCTGGACATTATGAGCAGTTGTTAACATTGATAAACATGTATTTTACAATTAGTATTAGCCGTTTTGATAATAATCTTATTGAAACATTTTATATAGATTCATCTGATGATATAAGTATGTAAAATTGTTTGTATACTAATTTTATTTTTAGGCAAAAAATTATTATATAAATTATTTACAGTTTTTGATGATAATTTGAAAACAATGCCATTGAATAAAGCGTGGTATCAAATTGAGTCCATAAGAACTTGTGATCGTTGGTTGCCTCTTCCTAAACACATGGCAGATGATGCAGAAGACCCCCAAAGAGTTGTTTTACCCGAAGAAATGGCAGAATTAGTTCAACCTTTAGTTATTCACAAGTCTGTCATTGAAAATCTTGTTACTGCTAGTTTTATTCTACTTAAAATGCCAATCTTACCTTTTCGTCATTTTGTTGCACGTCAAATAGGTATTCTCAAATGTCATTATTATTTAGATGATCTTGAAAGTATTCTCAGTAGTCTCTTTATGGCTCATCATTTTGAAGATTGTAAGTTACATTTTATTTCTAGATAAAAAATGTTTCATTAATATAGTAAACATATTCAAATTTTTTCAGTAAATGTCAGTGATAAAAAAGCTAGTAATGCATTGTTGGTGATGCTTAAGACTGCAATGCCCCCAAACTATTATGAAGAATCTATTTCAAGCCATACATATTCTAGATTTTTAACTACAGTTTTAAGACATATAACTGATTGCTTATATGCTATGGATTATATCGATGAAGCTAATATGTTTTTAGTTTGGTGGTTAAGGTTTGAAAGATATCAAATTATTGTTAAATTTAATACTGATAATAGTCGTTTGGTTTCTGAAGTAAAGTTATTGTTGGGAAAACCTCAATATAGGTAATATATTATTAAAACTAAATTAATTTTATTGTAAAAGTTTTTTTTTGTATTATAGAAATAATATCCCTCTTTTCATTGAATTTGCATTGTTAAAAAATCAAGTTGGCAAAAGAGATGATGCTTTGAAAATTTTGCAAAAATTAATTGATGGCCAATGTGTTTTGTTGGACAAAAAACCTGTTTATTTAAATGTTACTTATCGAGCAGCTTATACTGCTATTTATAAGAATTTAGTTGAAATATTAATTCAATCCGACTGCAAGTATGGTTTATTTTTCTTTGATATTATTTAATTATTTTCAATTTGTACAAAATTATCATTATAGAAAGTTATTGTATCTTATTATTTCTAGACAAAGAGCTTTACTAACACTTATAGCTCTTGCAAATGGAGTATTACCTGATCAAGCAAATTTAAATTTAACACATGAGGCAATGGTTATATTTGACAAGATAACTGAAGATCTATTAACTAATGAGGAACAATTTGCTTATTATGGCTTGCAATATAATTATTTACCACAGTTTTTAATTGAATGGGTCATTTGTCGTGCTTGGTTTTTGTATTTAACTATGAATGTACAAACTTCCGTAGCTATGCTTAAAGATGTAATTGAAAAAGTTAAAAATATTATTAAATTGAAGAGTTATCCAGAAAATCAGTGAGAAATTTTACTGTTGGTAAAAGTTCATATTATTTACTTATATTTATATAATTTTAGTGCAGCTGAAGAAATCTTGACTGAAACTATGATTGTAATTTTAAATTATCATTGTAATAAATCAAAAACTTATCATAAAGAATTGAAAATCTGTTTACGCAGTGCTATTTCAAAATATTCTCACAATATGCAGTTTTTATTTTCAATGCTTTGGAATGAGGTAAATAAAAATATTGTATCTATCAGATATAGATTTTTATAGAATTTTTTTCTAAGAATTAACTAAATATTAGTATTATTTTTTTATTTTGTTAATTGTAGTAATTTTTAAATTTTAAATATTTATCATCAAATTTTTAAAATTGATTTTCAATTTTATTTGAAAGTTTGACATATTTTTAGACTAAACCAATTTTAAAAAATTACCAACTATTTAAAAGTTAATATTATCTAATATATTGATTGATCTGATATACCTACTAAATAAATATGTGGCATCTTATTTTTTTCTTCCCCTATATTTCATTATATTTAATTCTACTTAAATATTTGCATTATACAGATCAAATTTGGAGGTTTTGGAACACCATTATGGCAAATTGAAAATACTTATGTTGATAATGGTAATGCTGAAAATTTGGAAACAGTTAGAATAATGTTGATTCTAGTAGGCAGGGAAAGATTAAGAATAGCAAGTGATATAGCAAGAAAACATTTGAATGATAATGAAAATTCAATGGATGTATATGGTAATATATTAAGTTTTCAGATTTGTTTTATAATTCAAAAATATTAATATTTGATAAATTGTTGTATACAAAATTGAAAGGTTGACTAAATGTATGAAAAATATTTCATGTGTTATGTTTCATCAGTTAAAAAATATATGTAATATGCTAACTATAACTTAAATTAAAAAAATAACATCCATTTAGTTTCAGAAAAAAATTAAATAAAATATTTAATTATAAGGCTTTATAAATGTTGAAGATTGATTTTTTTTTCCACAGTCCTTGACTTTGGAATGTGTTGATTTCAGTTATTCATATTGATTTAATCAGTTTTTATGAACTATTTTATTATTATTTTCAGTCTTCAATGTTTTCATTAAGAAGTAATATATATTTGGGATTTATATTTTTTTAAGGCCTTTAAGACCATCTTATTATAACAAAACCTCTTACATCCTTTTTTATTCTCCACTACCTCTGTCCAGTCCATATTTGTATTTATGTTCATCTATATTTGAGTATTATATTTTGTACATTCTATATAAATTTTAAAATAATGAAATATAAATGTTTATTTTAAAAACAGAGTTGTAGATTTATATATTTAATAATAATTTCAAGTTAATCACTATTTTACTAAAATAAAGGTTTTTACATTACACTAGAGTTTTTTGTATCTTAGAATTTTTTTTTTAGACAGTATTTTTAATTTGTTAGTTACAAAGTGAAAAGTATAGATATTAATTTTAGTAAATAAAGATTATACCATAATGAAATTGAGTAATTTTAAAATAAAATTATTAAATAAATTATTTTATAGTTCATATGTGTAAATCACATTTTATTTTGTATAAAACATAGGATTAGCCTTAAAATTAAATTATTTTTTCAGGAGGTGGAAATATTTTGGATTTGTGCAAAAATATGCGTAACTTGTTTGACTATTTTATCAGAAATCTTAGTGATATTACCGAAATGAAAAAGTGTCCAATGTTTTGGCGCCTTTATTTGCAATATATATTTGAAAACTCACAATCTGATTACAAAAAGTGTTATTATGAAGCTGTTGAAAACTGTCCATGGCATAAAGTATAATTAATTTTTTACTACATTTTTGTAATTATATGAAATATTATTAATGTATTTATTTCTAGTTTTTATATATGGAAGCAGCATTTTACCTTCCAGAAGAGTTGTCAAACATTTGTGACATTTTAGTTGAAAAGGAGTTACGAATACATATAACACAGGAGGAGTTGTTAGTATTAAGGGAAGATTGAGTTGCATAGATATCTATAAAATAATAGGTTTGTAAAAAAATGTTGACGTATTGTAAAATATATTATTTATTTTTTTTGACTTAAAATGATAAAGTTGTCTATAACAAAAATTTGTTTTTGTTTTTTTTTAAATAAATAATGGACGAAGTTGTAGCCAGTATAGACTCCCATTCTAAAGTTTGTTGATCCCAAGTAGCCGGAAACTTTAACCTTTATAGCCTCTCCGTAATTCGGTTATGGTCTTGAATAGCTCCATATGAGAAGGAGGTTTCGGAACGATTGTCCATGGGTTTTCATCATTCATTATGGTATACGGCACTCGTAAGCCAGTACTGTAAGTGAAAGCAAAACAATCATTATCATTTGACAAAATAAAATAAACGTAAATTGAACGTTTGATAACATCACGAATGCGATTGTGATAACGTCGCGATGCGGTTGGGATCAAGATTTATAGATTATAATCTATAAACCTTGGGGATAACATCACGTACGCGGTAACTGTAAATCTCAAAAAACCTAATGGTCGGTACTCGACGTGCTTAAAACGTAACACGCGGTCAATACAAACGAGGTACGGACTTCATAAACAACGATAATTGGGGGATGGTTGGGCACGGAACTATATAAACAATGACGTGTAATGATCGCACAGCCCAAACCGCGGATTCGATCAATTCTTTCGCGAGAGGAAAAAAAAGAATTGTATCCCACTAATAGGCGTGTCTGGACTTTTTTCGCAGAGGATGCAACCCTAACCATAACAATTCTTACTAACTCAATAAGGTTGTCTGAGTATAATTTACTCGGTCTTTCATTAAATGAGGGATCATATGCAAAAAAATAAAACTTACTAAGAGACCTTTTAAATACATCCATTTTGCTATCTTATCGTATCGACGAGATATTTTATCTGGGCAACCATTATATCTTTAATCGTGATAGTGATATAGGTAAATAATTATAGGATATCTGTATTATTATATTACTATAAATTAATAGATTATTATGAGTAATCACGTTGGTTTTGCAAAAAGTTGGTATAGGCTTGTGGCAGTGGCCGCTTCATCTCGCAGGGGGTGCAATTGCATACCCTGTCATTCCCGTGGACACGCCAATGATTCCACTTCTGAATTAAAAGTAAAGTAACAACAGAGAACGACAGTAATAACTCACGAGAGTCGCGTGACGTAGCGGTAAAACAGAAGGCCGGTCCGGTAAGTCCCTCGACAGCAAAATAAATTAAAAATCTATATTTTCTTATACAAAAATTAAACACTAGGGCTCTCATAAAAATTATAAGTACTATAGTACTGCGGTACCATAGGTCGGTTAGTTACCTTAGACCGGGTTTATTTTTTGGAGGGGGCGTTAATTTTTAAACAAATAATTTGGTGGTCCTGAACTAAATAAGACACATCGTAATTAAGTTAACTAATTATAGTTCCCCCTTCGTTGTCGGTTAAATCCGAAAAAAAAGCTTATTAAGAATAATTTTTAAATAAGAAATATACGGTTGTAGACAGAAATTTGATATGTGCAAGAATCAAATAAATAATTCCAATAGTTTTAGAATTGATGATTCTTTTGAACAAACAGAACTTACAAATTAATTTATTAATAATAATTATTGTTATTGTGGACAATGATTGTTGGTTGGGGCATGTAGTCCGTACTTTATCCGGCATCAACACAGTTCTAGAAATTTAGCCATACAGTGGCTAAGGGAACGGACCTCGGTCGCTCCTTCATGGTCTTCTCCCGTAGTAGGAGAGACGGAACGAATATACTTAATACCTCCGACCGAACTGCTAACTTGCGCAATGGTCGGTACGGGGCAACGGCTCTATCGATGAACGGTGTATTTAGGCCGTTATGACGGCCGCGCGATCACAAAATTTACTCTGAAACTGTCCGGTGAGCTCACGTCGGCGGTAGTTGGTGGCTTCGAGGTGCTACCGTCCCCCGAAGTCGGATCTCCATATTTACGGGGCCCGGACGGCGTGTCGCCGCGTCTCACTTTAGCCTCAGGGTTCCCGTGACCAATTGCGGTAACGACGAACCTCGAGCGGTGATGGTGGTGGGTTGAATCCTGTATTAACACGGTAGACAGTTTGGTAATTACTTACCGTCGACGCATGTCTTACCATGACGCTAACGTGACTGTACGTCGGGTTGCGTGGCGTAGTCCAGGTTGGCGCGCGCCTACCCGTCCTGCTGGCTGCGCTCTTACACTTTTGATTGCGGTTGGCTTCTACTACGGGGTTTACGGAATCGCTGGATAGCTTCGGGCGAATACTGGCCGCCCGGGGATTTTCACGGTACGGGTGTAGGTGACCCGTCGAGGAGCGACGGATCCTTGCGAGGTGAGCTTAGGCTACTCGTTGCGGCACCTCCTCTTGACTAGCTAATATAAGGTGGACCGAGCCCGAACAAATCCAGAGATCACCTGTTTAGTTGTGTGGGATTTAAGTAATAAAAATCACTCACAATTTAATTTAATTAAAATAGATACTATATTATATAAATATGTATGTACAAATATCGATACACGCTACAATTGCGGAGGAATTGCCGAATATATCGCGGAGTGTAATTCACGGTGTGTCGCGGATTGTACTCACAGACTGACTGATGTTGAATATAACAACTTGACACACAACAATTTACAATAGCAAGAGCTCTCTATTAAATAGTTTAGAAGTGTACACAATATTTTAAGAAATACCTAATATAATAAAATCGAAAACCAACATTTGTAACAATGGTTAACTACCTATAATAAGTATATTTTAAGTATACAAAAGACACATCCAGAAAATGAAAATGAAATAGCGTATTAATATTAGTGATGAGAATAATCGAAAGAAAATACTCGAAATACTCGATTGTTTGAACATTATCGAGTCACTCTTGGTATTCGAAATCAGTTGAAAGTAACTACTAGATTGACCGAGAGATTTTTTCGAGTGAATTTCTCTTGGTTATCGAAATCACTCAATGTCAATTTGAGATATTCGAATGAAAAATACTAGAATGCTTACAACCACTATTATCTACTAGTAGATAACTCGTGTGCTATGATAAAACGTTCTCAATTTATAAATCTGCGGAAATACGATGCGAATCCCCACAAATCGAAAGATAATATTGACAAATGATAATTCGAAAAGAGAATCGAATAAGTATCGTATTGAATAAAGCAGTAGCTTTATAATACAGTGATATTCATATAAAAAATATCTCGTTGGGTTTTTAATTTTAGTATTAATTTCTTTTAATCAAAATTAATCAATTTAATACAAATCGAAAAAGGACAACAATGTTTTAAATATTGTATTTAAATTTGTAATACATATCGATAAATATTTAATTTTAGTTTACTTTTTTTTGATAACCTTTTCAATCTATCATAATTGAATGTAGGTATCTATAAAAAACCGTATTATTTATTATTTAACAATCGACCATTATATATTATTTCATGTTGTTGTTATTATAACAATTTATTTTATTTTAATAATTAGGTATTTATAAAATAAGTTATAGGTTATTACCAATATCATGTTACATTATTTTTGTAAAATGTCTTATAATACTCTTTAAATTAAGTGTAATGTCGTCCAAATAGTATAATGTAATTTTTAGCCAGCGACCACGGTTATCTACTCAGAGTAGTTACCAATGACTGAGCGAATGACTTCGTAATAAAGTATATGGTAATAGCCAATAATAACTAATGAATTGACCGAGAGGTTTTTTCGAGAAAATCTCTCGATCGTTAAATTCTCTCGATTATTCCCATTACTAATTAATATTACAATTTATAATAATTAATATTATTTTCAGTGATAATAAACTTAGATGATAAGAAAACTGATAACCAGCTCCGAAAAATAACTCGCGTTGCTCCCACGATCCTCTCATACAGGATTGTATCGGTCGTAGCGATAAGAGCACGTAATTGGATTGGTCGAGAGCGACCTGTATCCAACTTCATGCGCGTGGTTAGACCAGACTAGCTGCTGTTTGCTACTGCTACTTGAAGTGCTATATAGACGTTTCTCCTATCAGACAAATGTGCGTATAGAATAAAAAAAAAAAAAATTCAACGTTTTGATAAAATAACTTCGCGTTCGGAACGGGCATTTATCGGTTGTCGTGTTCGCCGACCGCACAGTTTTCGCGTTCTTGTTTCCGTATGTGTGTGTGTCTTGTGATGCGACCGGCTAGATAGCTGAATGTCCGTTAGCTTTTCTCTCTTTTCACGGATCCGTTTCTCGCACTGCAAAGATGAGTAACAACAAGGACAACAAGACGTTTGAGAAGCTTAAACAGTTTTTTAGAATCAACAAAGGAGCGACGAATTTGGGTTAGTGGGTCTAGTGAGCCGTTGCTCATCAGCAGGCTCTTATGGTCGGTTGTTGGCAATATTGTTATGTCGTTAATGGGTTTTAGGGATTCATCTGTTAATTTGCTTTTATTATATGTTAACCAACTGATGGTTAAATATTTTTAGGAGCTCTTCGTGTTAAGGAAGACTATACGCTGACTGAAGAACAAGGGCAAAAAATTTCCTCAGAGTCTGCAATACAAAATAGGATTAAAACCATTAAAGAACTTGCAGAAGTAGCTCGATCTCACCGTCTTGAAGAGGTAACATCATTTATTAATTGAACTTTTTGATGACTATTTTTTTCTCAATAAATTGACAACATTGATAAATTGAATAATTATATTATTGAATGTTTGCAGAAATGTGTTTATCTTATTATTTGTCTTTAGCTAGTTGATGGTTATTTCTTTAATTATTAAAAGAAAAAAAAATCATTGTTTTGCTTATAAACATGGTTTGTATTGAAATTAAATGAAAAGAAAATATATTTGATTTTTATTTAGCTAAAAAGTATATTTTAAATAGAGTTTTCTCCTTGATATTATTACTATTTAATCTGTGAAATAATTTTGTACAAATTTTATTCGAGAATAGTTAGTTTACTAAAATTATACAAAACATTTATATTGTAATTATTATTATTAAAATACAGCTGCTAGCTGTCATTAAAAAAATAAAAATATGTTTAGCTTTTTTATTAATCAAATTTAAGTTTTGATTAATAAATGCTTTTTTTAATTTACCTTCTATAATTTTATAAAATTTTCTTATTTTACAGAATGCTGTAGCAAGTTTATGGGTTCATGTACATGATTTGTTTAGTTCTAATGTTGCAAAAGAACATCGCCATTTAGTGTTTTCTCTTATTAAATCCATTATTCTTGGTCAATTTGGAAATCTTGGCATCTTAAGAAAACATTTTTTTAATTTCATAAAAAATCATAATATTGCTGAAGATATATCATACAGGTTAAATATAGTTGTACTAATTTGTATGTAAGAATTCATATTACACTGTTTTTAATAATTTATTTATTGTAATTAGGGGTTGGATTTTTAGATAGTTGAATTATTATTTAAAAAATTATTAATTTTCTAAAATTAGAAACATCTCAATGTATAAAATGTTTAATTTCCTTAAATTTATTAATTAGCTAGTCTTAAATGGTTCATTAACATTTTTATTTATTTTATTTAATAGTAATTAAAAAGTTTCTTGTCAAAATATTATTGATTTTAAGTTTTTTTTTTACTATCAGAACACAGCCATTTACCATCATTAATTTATAATCTAAAAACTTAAGAAATAAAAAAAATAATATATTATTTATTAATATTATTAAGAAATTCTTAACTATATTTTTGAAGTTGGTAGCTATAATGAATTAGATGTGATTTTTTATTATTACATGGATTATAAAATTATTAAAAATTATTGTATTTGAAGAAAGAACATTTTATTTGTGGAGTATAGTATAGTATAGTATAGTTATTTAACAAAATATATTATGTATCTTACATACACAAAGAAAAAAATCCGACCTCTAATTATAATGCAAAATAAATAATTTTATTTTTTATAAATTGTAGGTTGGAATTATTAGAATGTCTCACTGATCATGGTCGTGATATTGTATACTTAGAAGAAGAAATTTGTCCTTGGTTAACAAGATGGGGTGCATGTGAATTGGCACCTGCTGGTTTTACGTTGGAATGGCTTGAAATATCCATTAATGTTATTAAATTCAACGCTACATATTTGGATGATGAAGTTATCAATACAGTAGTTCAGTATGTCATATTTATAAGATTACTACTGAAATAATTTTCTAGTATTCAATTTGTGTGACTTATTATTTTGTTTGAACTAGGAGTTCATTTTATGTGTGCTGTTATAGTAAAGAAGAAAAAGTTGTTTTAGAAAGCTTACGACTTCTCGATACAATTATATGTTATAATCATTTGCCTCCTCAATCTTTACCTATATTTATTGCTACGTTATGTCATACAGCAAATTCAAAAAAGTACTGTGCTCAATGTTGGAAAGTAATTAAAAAAAAAAAAAAAAAATAAAAAAAAAAATTGTTATTGTTTTTTATTTTTTATATGTGCATTATTACTTCTAGACCATGCGAAAGCTTTTAGGGACACACATGGGATATTCAGCTATATATTTAATATGTCAATTGCTTCACAAAGATGTTTCCGAACACAATCCTGGTCTTGTTCGAGGTGGATTATTCTATATTAATATGGCTTTATGGAGTAATAATCAAATCACTTCATTTAAAATTTCTCTTCTTTCAGTTTTGCCATCAATTCACAGTGTATGGTAATTATTATTGTTGTATATAAACTAGTTTATAGTCAAAATTATTATTTACAGGCATTATCATGTGACCATCCAACAGTTGTACTGGAAGTTGTTTTAGGAATGGAATCCTTGGTAATGAAACTTGGAGCTACTATACAAAGTACAATCTGGGAAAAAGTTTTAAACATATTAAAATGTTGTGCGGAGTTTGTTAGTAAGTACTTTATTGAAAAATTATTATTTTTGATTTGGTATTCTAATATATTATTTAAATTATTTAAATTCTAATAATATTGATTCTATAGCAAAATAAATTACTTTGTTAGACAGAAATGGCATGAATTCAGTAGCAATGATTGCAGAACATCTTAATGAAACCTTATCAAAAATTGAGTTACTTGTTGACACAAATGCATATAGTGGTAGTTTAGATGGAATTTATGATGTTATTGAAACATTTTCACTTTATAGACCTGTAAGATACCTTTAATTTTAAAATAGTATTAAAATAATCTACAGTATTAATTTAAATTTTTTTCTAGGAATCTTCAGTTTTTAATTTAATAGCTTACAGAAAAGAATTTCTTGTTTCAACTCAATACCAATGGATCAATAATTTAAAAATGTTCTTAAATCATTTTTATACCAAAGAAAATAGATCACCTATAAGAATTCATGCTGTGGCTCAGATTATGAAAGAAGTCTACCAACAGAATAGGTTTGTTATATAACAATATATTTATATAAATATATTTACAACTTGCCTAATTTTTAATTTTTGTGTATTCTACAATTAACCAACTATATAAGTTAGTTGAATTCATTTTCCCATTCTTCCAAAAAGAAAACATACTTTAATTTTGTATCCCTTGATATCTTGTGATAGCTTTATAGGATGGCTCAATGGGCTGCTATATAAACTATCACATATTTCTCCTCAACATATTTCTTCTTTGTTAAATTTAATCTTATTGATCATTATTTTTAATTTCAATTAATTTAAATTAATTAGAGTGAAATGGACAGAATAGTTCTCAGTGAAAGGTTGATTGTTAACAATGTTAAGGCTTTATTTATTTATTAATTAATTTTTACTTTATAATTATACAGTGCATTATATGAAAATGAACTGATGAATGTTATACTGGATGTATTCAGCAAAGTTGCTGAGGACAATGACCCAAGTGTTCGACAAGCAGTTTGCCAATTCATTATTGGAGTTTGTAATGATTGTGATAGTGCTTATCACGAAGAATTATTACAAATACTAGAAAAAGTATGTATATTAGTGTAAGCTTAACCAAATTTTAAAGTGGTCAATATTAAGAACTAACATAATTTGTGCAACCATATTAGTTATGTATAGTAAAATAAAATAAATTTTTTTTTTTTTTAATTTTAGGTATTATTGAGACCGTTTGAATTAAATACAATTAAAGGATCTATTTTATCAGAACATGATATATCTGATTTACAATTAACTGTTGTGGGTCTTTCAAAATTGTTTACAAAGTTTTTATACAAACATTCAACTACATCTGCAGATACTATTCTTACAATGCTTATTACTCACTTGAAACATCATTATGAGCAACCAATTGTTTTAGAGCATTTATATTTAGTACGACTTGCGGTAAGATTTATTTATACTGTGTATATTTTTTATAATATATTGTTAGTTAATTTTTGATGTACTATTTAATTTATTGTTCATTGCTTTACAGATTTTTGAATTGTTAGTTAAACTTCGAGCAGATTCTAGGTATAGGTTGGGAATACAAGGATTGAATGATTATTCACCATACATGTATTTGGATCGCAGTGCTTTTGGAGTCCCTCCCAGTCCAAATTCATCTACTGAGGATACAAGATCGAAGGAAGATGTCTTGGTGCAGTTAAATTACATGTCTCTTGCAGCTGCGTGCAAGATTGTGATTACAGCGTTAAGAGAAGAGCTCGGTAAAGCATGAACAAAATTTGGAAATGGAGTTTAGGAATCTAATGGCGTTTGGTGTGAAGCAATTTAACTGTAGATAATTTGCATCATGTGTTTTTAGGATGTGAGTATGTGTCTGTGAGTTTGCTGGTATGTGTTGACTGTCTAAATGTATGGAGTAAATTATAAAACATTTTTATGTGAGAAGCTCAAGATCTAAACCCTAACTCCTATTGAGCATTTGAGAAATGTTTTGTGATCTTAAATATTTTTTTTTAGATTGGAAAGTGTTAAATTATATATTGAAAGAAGTACCTCAAATTTTAAAGAACAAGGCTTTGGTGTTATCTGGAAATTGGGAATTTGATCCAGCATATGAATTGGCTTCAACCCTATGTTTATTGGTATAATCATAATTAATATTTACATTTGTTACATATAATGAAGTATAATTCTTGTGCATAAATTATATAATAGTATTTTTTATTTTTTATTAGGTGAATGATAAAAGTGTTGCTAGCACTTTAAAAAATACACCTTCTAAATGGTTAAAAACAGATTTTCAAATTGCTGTTTATCCAGCATTAGCCGCTTTTGTTTCGTACCATAATAGCTTAGAGCCATCTCTTCAACAGAAGCTCGTAAAATGCCTACAATCAGGTAAATTGAATGTATATACATTTTTAAATCTCATTTGAAGAATAGTAATAGAATATTTAATTTTAAAATATCATATATTTTAATATTTATTATTGAATCGGTCTTAAATCATTATTTATTGCATTTTTTTTATTAAGTGGGTTGCTCATTAATTTTAATTTTAACTATTATTAATTCTATAAGTAATAAAAATTTATAATCTTTATTTATAAGATCTAAAATTTAATCCATTTTTAATTTTAATAATTTAATAATTGAGTCTTATTATTTATTGTTTAGGATTGGTTAATCGATGTATACGTCCTGTAGTAATGGCATTGACTACTTGTATCTTAGAAATGCGAGATATCATGGTCAAGTTATTACCTGAAGTTCTGTTAAATATGTCTAAGCTTTCTGCTACCACTCAGATTGCTGTACCAGTTCTAGAATTTCTCTCTAGTAAGTATAATACAATTTAAATTTAATCATTTATGTTTCTTGACCACTGAATTTTTCCAGTGTTAAGTCGTCTTCCAAAAGTGTTCTCCAACTTTGTAGCTGATCAATACATGTCTGTATTTGCTATTGCATTGCCTTATACCAATCCATTTAAATATAATCATTACACTGTTTCATTGGCTCATCGAGTGATTGCTATTTGGTTTTTGAAATGCCGAACATCATTCCGAAGAAATTTTGTTGAATTCATCAAAAAAGTATTAAAAATAAATTTTAAATAAAATATTTATACTGAATTTATTTTTAATATAAACATTTTTCTGTTTATTTTAGGGTTTAAAACAAAATGTTTTAGTACCATTTGAAGGGCGTACTATTCCTAGGAATGATATTCATAATGAAGATTCGTCAAGTCGAAAACGCAGTTCTAGTTTAACAGAACAAGTAATTTAATTTTAATTACAATAAATTTTAATATTGTGTAATACATTTTTCATATTTTTAGGGTAGTCGAAGACGTGAACGTACAATTATGGGTGTTAGTAAGAGTCCAATGAATGATTTGAAACCACCAATAGATAATGTACTTTTAACATTTCATAAAGAGTTAACAGAAACTTGTATGGATTTATTAGCTAGATATGCTTTTGCTACTTGTTCTGCTCTACCTAAAAGGTAAATATCATAGTAAAACAATATATTTGATTTAAAAAAAAATTTAAATCAAATATATTATTTTACTATTGTGTAACTATTGTGAACCTTTTTTTAGACATCCCACAGCAGATTTTATATTGGATGGAGGTCAGTCTGCTACTTGGTTATTAGGTACAAAACTTATAACTATCACAACTAGTGGATGTACTCAAAAACCTGTGAGAAATGGATTATGTGGTAAATGTTATCAATCTTGTCGCCAAAGTAGCGATCAGGCCAAAAATTCTCCTAAATTAGATGAAAAGTCAAAGCTTTCAGTATCTCGAAGTCAAAGTAGTGAAGCCAGTGATCAAATTGATGTAAATACATCTGGCAAAGGGGTTGCATCACCATCATGTTTGTCAACAGCAACTAATTCACCTGGAGAAGAAACAAAAAAATTCCCACATATAGAAACAAATGAACCATTTGATATGACACGAAAAGATAGTTTTTCTAGTTCAGACCGACTTGATAAGAAACAAAGTTGTTCTTGTTGGTGTCAATCATGGGCTGAAATATATGTGAGGTGTCCAACAGGTAAATACATTATTATATTGGTTATATTTTTTGATAACTATAACACTTTCTTTTAGGAGTTATGTCTTGGATGATTAGAGTGCAAAATGATAGAAATTTTCAGGATCTAAATTCTGATTCATCTATGTTTGATGTATCGACGTTATTCCATCCTTCACTTGGGACAAAAGTTTCCAATGGAGAACTTGACAGATTACGTCAATATTTTGATGAAGAAGTAAATTTTATATATTTTAATGACTTGTATTGGTGACAATATGTCTATAAAAGCCTATTTATGTATTCTGTAAAAAATGTTTGAAAAAGATGTGTTTATACAATCCATATTTCTTAGTGTTTAAACAACAATATTTTTTTAACTAATGTTTCTAAAAATTAGTAATTTAAAGTATATTATTATATTTGAATTTTTCATTAATTAAAATTGTGTTTTTCTAATGTCATTATTGAATGACATATTGTCTATGTAGAATAGTTAGGATTTAAGTTTATAATTGAATGATAATAGATATTTTATTGCATTATATTATAATTAGTAATTTTCAACTTATGAAAGAAGTTAATTTGTAGTACTGGGAGATTTAAACTAGAAATGTACCAATTCAGGATAATGTAGATGAATATATATTTTTTTAATTAGTTTTTATTGCATAATATTATTAGATTTTGTATTTTTCTCTTTAGTCTATCATTGATCAATATTATTATTTTTAAACAGAATTATTATTTATCTATTATCATCATTACAAATTTTGATCTCGGTAACATTTAATTATTTGGTAATCTTCAACCTAGAATAATAAGCTCATGCAATATTTAATGATCCCAATACATACTGATCATATTTTGTAGAAACATGTTCTGGATCAATATATTGCCAATGATGAAATCATAAAAATGGAATCAAACGAAAAGTTATCGAGTAGAATACCGTCTGAACCAGTTTGTATTCCTGGTTCTCCTCTTAAACTTACTCCTTCACGACAAAACTCACAGGAAAGTTGTGAAGTAGAAGATGAATATTATGACGGTAATCAGAATATTGATAACATTTTTTAATTATAGTTGTAGAAATAATTAAATATTTGAATTTATGCATCAGTTTATTTAATATATGTTTTATTCTATTTTTATTTTATTTATGTATGTTACTTATTTATTTAATTATTTAACTTGGTATTGTTTTTAATATTATAAATTAATTTTATTTAAAATAAATAAAATACTTCTATTGAAATTATTTTATAGAAAGATTAAATTATTCATTATTAGTGTGGATAAAATTACTCAATATGTTCTAGAATGCTTTGAATAAATATTCATTAGATTTTACTTTATAAAAGAAAAAGTTTCTTTACATAATTAGTAATAATGTGATATTTTAATATATTTATATACTTTATTTGTACTATAAAGTTGAAGAATTTGATAATGGCGAAGGTCGATCAAGGAATCCAGTTCGTCGATCAAACTCCAGTCCTGAAATGAGTTCTGGATGGAAAAATCCATTCATGAAAGAAATGCAAACATTTGAGAATGAGAGTATTAATAAAGATATGGATGATATAAGTAAACATTTAGAGTTATTTAATGCTCCAATTGATGGAAAGAAGATCAAACAAAATTATTCTAAAGACTTAAGATACTGTTCTAAGTAAATATCAATCTTAAAAGTTAATAATAATTGATTTGTTTTATCTATTTTATTACATTTTTTAGAGCAAATTGTGAAGCAATACCAGAAGAAATCTGTGGTACTGGTTCAACTCCACCCTCAAATACATGTCCACCAAAACCTTTATCGCTTAATTTGAACTTAGATTCAGTAGAAAAGAAGATAGATGTTTTAGCGTTGGGGAAAAATGTTAATGACAAAGAAAGACCAAAATTATTATTAAAAACCCCTAAATTAAATTCATTTAATGAAAGTGACTCCTCTACAAAGTCTTCGGCTGAAAGTGTTGATATCAAGCAGAATATAGAATTTCCATTAGTGACCCATTACCATGACGAAAAAAGTAGATCTTTAACATCAACACCATCTTATCTAACTAAAAAGCCACCACTATCACCACCAATTAATTATGGATCACAGACTTTGGAAAAAAGTGTAAGCCTTCTTAGGAGCATATTTTTTTTATTAAATTGTTTATTTTATGTGCTAGATAATATTTGAGACTTAATATTAATTTAATTAAAAATCTATTGATTGTTTATTCAGGAAAGTGATACAGATCCACCTATGATGTTCCGAGGACGTGTTCATACATTAGCTGTAATGAATGCTATTAAAAAACCAACTGGTGTACCTGCTAATTCCAGCTCATTGATAATGAACAATAGGGCAAATCAATCAAAAGAGCCTGTGCGGTCTGGAATAAATCCTAGGTACATATTTTAAAACTATTCTTATGGAAGTTTTGTTAATTTATGAATCATACTTTCAAATAGTTTTATTTATAAACTGTAATTTTTTTAAATTTTTTTAGTTTTGTTTTCCTGCAGCTGTACCATTCTACTCATTTTAGTAGTGTTGATAATGATGCAAAACCAATTTTATTGCCATTGTCTCAGACTATGATTCAAAGAGCAGTACAAACTTTAGATTGGATTCCTCCATATGAGTTACATAAGGTTTTATTTTTTTATTTTTACTGTAAAAATACATTTAGTTAATTCTGTTTGATGCATAGATTGGAGTTATTTATGTTGGAATGGGACAAGCTAATTCTGAAGTAGATATTCTGCGTAACTTGCATGGATCACTGAGGTACACAGAATTTCTCAAGGGTTTGGGAACTCTTATCAAATTATCCGATACAGATTCACAAAGTGTATTTCTTGGTGGTTTGGAACGTGACGGTACTGATGGAAAATTTACTTATATATGGCAAGATGATATTATGCAAGTTAGTAAAATTTAAAATTATATTTTCCAACATTTATATTTAAAATTTTACATTTACAATAAATTTTTAATATTTTTGTAAATATCATATGTCTTAATGAAAAATTAAATATTTATATTTTTAGGTTATATTCCATGTTGCTACTTTAATGCCAACTACTGAATCTGATTCTAAATGTAATAACAAAAAGAAAAACATTGGAAATGATTTTGTTACTATTGTTTACAATGAAAGTGGTCAAGAATATGATATTCAAACTGTTAAAGTTAGTATATATTTTGTTATTACATTTATTGTATAATGTATAAATAATATACATAATATTTTTTTTCATAGGGTCAGTTTAGTTATGGTTGTGTCATTGTGGAACCTTTGGAGCATGGTGTTGATCAAATCACTGTGAAAGTAAGGGACGAGTTACGTGATCATGTTGGTCATCAAGAACCAAAAATTGTGTCTGATCAGAACGCAGCAATGTTAGCTAGACAATTGGCTATACATACAGATGTATGTAACTTTTTGTTTTTAAAACATTAACATTTAGTAGTGTAGAAATTGGTCTATTATTTTCTTAATCTACTAGTATATAGACTGTTAAAGTATCATAAATTATTTTAATTTTAAGTGATTGGTAGAAGGTTTTTTGTTTTATAATTTTAGATTTTGGTTAAATCAAGGAATGTATTGGTTTTATTATGTTTTTCCTCCCTTTCGTTTTCTTTTATGATCTAAGCTTTGTTTGTAAATCGATAAAATTGAGAATGACTTGGGTTAGCTATTATGTATGAGCAAGAGGTTGAAGGCTGGTCTGTTTGGATGCTAGGGTGGCTGACCTTAAATAAATAGGAAAGAAAAAGTTATATATATACTATTAATAATGTTATACATTTTGTATGAGCATTATGTAAGCTAGTAATGAAGTAGTGATTTTTACATCATATTATCTGTTTATTTTTTGATTTGTAATCAAACCTTTAGACAATAGAATTGCACTAAAAATCTCATGAAGTATTAAATTGCATTGAAAATTGGATATGTAAGTTACTTTCTGCTACAAGAAAAGACAAATTATAATTTTTCTTTTCTCTGCAATATTAGTTATAGGTTAGGGTAGGTTAACTACTAACACCAATTTGGAAAATATTGGTAATTTTTTTTAATATTCTTATTATTTTCATAAATTATTTAAATGTTCATAGCTTTAAAATCTAAAGCAGTCAATTTTTTATCTAATTCAAAATATGTTGACTAATATTTTTTATAAAAGTTAATAATTTGTTGAAATTTATGCAATTTGCAAAATGTTTTTGATGGATCGCTGTTTGTAAATTAATGACAAGAAAAATATCTTAGTTATAAATTATAACTTATAATATAATTATATTTATCAGAATTTAATTTTGCCGTATTGTGTTAAAGTATAATGTAAAATTTTTTATAATAAAATGATTAGGGATATTATTCTATTATAACATACTAGGTTTTATTTTGTAGGTTTGTCTATCAAACATAGATGATATTTGTGACTGCCTTAGCATAAAGGTTAGAAACACTGGTATACTCTAAAATAATAACAATTAAAAAAAAAGTGAATAACTTGTAATAACATTAAATTTAGTTTGAATGTTTTGACATTATGCACCGTTGTTAGCATCTGTTTCATATTTGGAATTGATGAAAAGTCAACTGTATTTATTTAAATGAAACATTTCTTATGAAATTATAATTATAAATTATTGTACAGCTCATTAAAAACATGCATAATTGTTTAATTTGTAAATTCAGTTTATACTGTTCTTCTACTTCTTTGGGTTAAATTTTATGACAACTTTGTGAATTTTATATTGCAAAATTAATAAAGACTCAACATTTTATAATTGGAATTTTTCTATTCTTATGTGAGTAAACAACTCTGGTCATGTATGGTTGAAGATTTTATTATATATGAAATTAATATACAGAATCTATTAACTACAAAAGTACATACCATATACACATCGCGCACAATATTAGTGTATAGTTTAAAAATTTATTTTTTACTTTTTTAAATTTAACTAAAATATATTTACAGGGATTAGCCAGGGAGGCAAAGGGGCAATTGCTTTCTGGGCTCTTGATAGTATCATATTAATAATAATTATTTATACTCGTATACAAAATGTAATGTATATTTTCTATTTTTATTTGTATATTTGTATAAAACATAACAATTGAATAAAAAGTACTAAAGAAATGAATTAAGCACTATTAATTAAAAATATTTATTAGTTGATATATGATAATAATAGATACAGTTGATTAACCCCCGGGATCTTTAATATTCAGTTCGCCCTTGTATATATAAGTATTTATATTAAAAACTATATTCCTGTTGTCTTGGGCTCTTCGTGTTGCCAATATTTAAAAATAATGATATTTGCTTAGTATACTTAGTTTAGTATTATTTAATATAATATATTAAAAAAATAATAATATATATAATAATAATATATATTATATATATATATAATAAAAATATAATATATTAAGCAAATATTATTTGCTTAGTATATTTATGATTAAAATTGACTCGAGATATTAAAATCCATAGACATTTATTTGTTATTAAAAACATATTATGTGTATAACGATATATTTAAAATGTAACAAAATTAAATTAAAGAGGTTTGGGAAAGAGGGAAAGGAACTAAATGAAATGCAACCGTTGTTAAATTTAGACTGAAAATTTCATTCTGGATCTGTATTTCCTCGTTTAACTTTGTTCGTACTTTTTTTTTTATATAATATTATTTACAAATATAATATATATGTAGAATCAACACATCTATAATAACAGTAGACATTAGTCTGGGCAGTTAAAACTTAGGTAGCTCGATTATTGTGGTGATATTGTATGGAGGTGACGCAAAAAATTATTTGCAGTAATAATCTAGTAATTTTATGACTAGGGAAATCCTATACATATATAGTTCATTACAGTTAAGAAAATTATTTGTGTAGAGAGGAGAAACTGAAAATGATCAAAATTGACACTTTTTTTGATTGATTTGACTCCATTAATAAATTTGAATTGACTCGACCCGATGAGTTTTGCTAAATAGTGCTGTTCATAAAATTGAATATATCCACTGTGTCATTGGCGCAGATTTTAGAATGCTTTTTGATGTGTGTCCTTTTTATTTTCTTGCAGTTGGCGTCGCAGATATTGAGTAGCTTGAGCAAGGAAAACAATGGACCCTACGCCAGTAACTGGCTGGAGCGTCTTAGACAGATCAAGAGGATACAGAACAAGGTGATGAAACTGGATAACGGCAGTCAGTCGACTGGTAGCGAACCGATGACTGTAGTGCGAGGTCAAGGAACGGGTTTGTCGACAGGGACGGGTGGAACGATGATGATGGTTGGTGGGAGCGGTGGCGGTGGTGGCCGTTCTAAGGTGCAAATGTCCGATTTCACTGAATACACTTAGAAGAAAAAAAAAACAAATAATTTTTTATGATCAGATATTCGCATCATCTTCGCGAGGCTTACACTAGTGATGATCTCATTTTGGATTGCGTGTTGGCAAAAAAAAAAAATTAATTTTATAAATGTAATGTAAACGTGATTGACATTACATATATTGCGATATAAATATTATGAAAACAAGAAAAAACGATATTAACTATGTACAATTTAATTGTGAATTGATGTGAATTTTTTTCATTTTTTTTCCAATGTTAATAAAAAACATTATTGTAAAATTGCGTATAATATGTTTTATCGTAAGGAATCGGTATTTGTCATGGTCAGCCATGATGACGGATTATTTGTATGTAATCAATGGGTATATTCTGTATTAAACATATAATACATTTCCTTAACTAATTATTTATATTTATCTTTATATTCATATATATTTTATTTAGATACACTGAGTCTTATTATTATCCGTAGTGCTTACAAAATGATTTGCAGGATTAGGTTATTTTTCATCACATCATAATTTAACGCTCATTGTTTTTTAACTTTCGTCCATGTACTGCTGTTGCTTTTGTTTTTATACTTCATTCCCTGCGTACATAATATTCTGTAAATATTTGATTCATGTGCAGTGGCGTAATTAAAAACTTTGATTGCCTATGGCAAATTATTCTGGCGGGCTTACAAAGATCCACTTCTGCTAATAGATAATAAATAATTAAAAACATATTTATTATATAATTATGATTATAATAACCGCTTGGGCAGTGAAAAGATTCGACCGTTTCCTTTTTCGCGTAACGCTCGAGCGTATCGATACCTACTATTATATTATTAAACGGAGAGACAATTTTTATGACGGTTATATCTGAAGTTCTACTGGACCGATTTGCACAGTTTTTATTTTGCGAATACTTTGTGTGCAGATGAGTCATCCAATGAAAAAAAACTCAAGAATTTAATTAATTAAATAGTTATTGGAAATATTAAATTTTCCGTGCATACGATATCGGTTCGGTATCAAGAGTACGGCGGCACGAAACAGTGACACGGATGGGGAAGTTTGGGCGGTCACATATTACATTCAGGCCGCCAACGGTCGCAGTCGTACCCCGAACTTCACCCACCGTTAGATAACCACCCATTGGATGATTCGGCCAGACAAAGATAGAACGGTGGCATAGAATGCGTTCGGTTTCAACAAATATAGTTCTTATAAATTTTTGACCCTATCTTACAAACAATACGAAAACACGTGTTTTAAATTAAGAATATTTATTCATAGGCGGATTTGGGGTGTATACAAGTGGCATAAATCCGCCCAATAAGTGAATAAGGAGAATAAAAAGTTGATTATGTTCTTCAATGACTGACGGCCGTGTTTCACTGACATATCCAATTTAATCATTGAAAGTGATCTAGTTTCAAATATTGATATTAATAAAATTGTAGATACGTTTGCTGAGATAAATAGACCCACTAAAATGGAAAAAAACAATTTTGACTTGGAATAGGATTCGTACAAATTTGGGGAATAGGCATACAAATTCATACAAATTGCTTATTAAATATTTACCAAAATAAAAAAAACATACGAATTTCGTATGGGGGGGGGGGGGGCTGGGGACATGTACGTATGGAGACATGTTGCCGAAACATAAATACCAACCGAGTCATCTCGGTGAGAGAGCACTGTGATAGTGGCCCACCACAATACCCCCCCCCCCCCCCCGAAGGAGAAAAAATCACAATATCATTGATAAATGAAAGAGGCAATTAGCCGATCAGAAGATAAAAATTACTGGTGGTGCCGAAACCGACCTCATAATAGCTCCCGGTTGTTGTTTAGCCGTCGGCCAGACCGGTTGTCGGTCCCGCTCACGCGGACATTGAGAGAGACGCCGCTGTGATGACGACCGCAACAGCGGTACGGTATTATGTACATCGTCATGGACAATTCCAAAACGCTCATTTTCGGCAGAATATGAACGAGTGTCTTTGAAATGTTCGCCACGACCATATTAAATTATTGACGTTTTCACCAGAATCGAAGTTAATATGTTGGACGTGTTAAATCGGAAATCGCTGACACACGCTGTCACGAATTTCTTTGTATATATCTGCTTTTGCACAGTGACAGCCCACATGAGTAAATATTGAAGTGCCAAGCTGAGTCTAAAGTTAATAAAATGTCGTACTACATTCTTATTTTTTAATTAATTTGACCATTCTTTCATTTTTAGTAAATATAAAAATAAAAAGCAACCGACTTGATGAAGTTTCGATGAAACACTAACAAGTGCAAGATATTAGTAAGTATTTAATTACATTTTGAATCATTTAACTATCGAAATCTAGCATTACCTGATGAATCTGAGATATTTATAGATTTTTCTGTGACTAAAATCTTTCAGTAGATTTGCTATAAAATTTCTATTGAATATTATGTCAAGATATTGGAATAGTGACATGTACAAACGATTCACGGAAATTAAAAACATAACACTAGGGCTTTCAATTTATAATTTTATTTATTCCTATTTTTCAAGATATAAATTCAGGGTTAGCATTAGATAAATAATTTTTTTATCCAGATAATATATATGATAAAAGATAACTAATTTAAAATTTAAATTAATGAAGATATGAGACTTTTTTATTCAACAATACACACAATCTGAGACTCTCTGGTAAAAACTTGAAAGAATTTAAAACATATGACCACTGTTGAAAATCGAACAATATTCAAGAATGTGACTACAATATTTACGAATCACATTATCGTCCGTAGTTAGTTGTTGCATGTCAAATGTGTACCGCGGAATTCGATTATCAATTATTAATTTCACCATCTACGGATGCTTTTTCATGCTCGTTGAACTGGGGTGAAAAAGACTAAATACATCACGGTAATACATTCTTCGTTTCACTCAGAAACATAAAAAAATAATACTTGTAAATCGATGTATCCATTACATTTGTGTATTAAGTTTGCCTATATATGACGCCGTGTTATTAATATCGAACATAAATGTAACTTTCGAAAACTAAACCTAAACCACCCTTAATGAAAAACTCTAAAATATCCAAATATTACTAACAGAGAAACGGCTTTGATATGTACATGGAATACACGTAAATAATATGCTTGCTATACCGACACACAACGTATGTTGTTCTCTCCGGTTTTCGTCTTGAATTTGCATATCAGTGTGTGCTTTTATTTTATTTAAATCGAAACCAGTGGTGGATTCTCGTGGAGGAGGGGGTTTGGGTGTTAAAACCACCACAAAATCAGGAAAAATATATATTAAAAATCAATAATTTTATAAATTGAGAAAAAGATTTTTTTTTTTTAAGTATGAGGGAAAGTATATAATTTGTATTTTTATTCATACAAGAAATTAATAGTCTTAGATTTAAATTGATGTATTATATTACTTACTATTATCTTAATTCATTATCAATCACTGACTGCTATGTTATAAAAAATATCTCAAGAGAAAACATTTTTCAACCCCCCTCTCAAAAAAAAAAAAAATCTGGATCCACCACTGATCAAAACGTACTAGTATGTCATTATAATAAATAAGTCGTCATCGTTTTTACGAAATAAAAACAAAGAAAATCGTGCATTACACAGAATTATCAATTAATTATTAATAATTATATTATATTATTATATTATTATTAATTAATTATTAATTATTTCGACCCGAAAAACTTTTAAACAATATTTATTAAAAAAATAAACTAAATAATTTGAACCCTAGATTAAATATTTTATGAGGAGATGCAGTCACGAAGTTTCCCTCGATCACTAACCACCGCTTTGGGCTTCGTTCTTTCGAAATCGTCTGTGTTACGGTTCAATGCATAATACCGTGTCCTTTAGTCACGTCCCGCTAGAGTTTGCAGGGTATAGAAGTTATAAAATAATTTCAATTTTTCTTAGCTTAAATAGAAAAACTTACTAATTAAAAATTTATTAAGAAAATTCTATTTATTAACTTAAGAACACAAAAATATGTAGATTTATTAAAAAAACTGAACATATTTTCATAAAATAATAACAAAAACCATACTATAATGTAGAATTGTAAAGCATAAGTGATTGTTTTAATATTTTATCATAAATAGTAATTATAAAAAAACAATAGCTTTATCCAAATGTGTTGATATGATATCAAAATATTTTTCATCGTTTTAATGCTCTCCAATGATGATAAATAAAAAACGGTAACATTTTGTTAGTACCTTAGTTAGTACATTATGTTAGTACATTTTATTGTGTGGTACCCGATTAAATTCCAATTTAATACGAATGTCAAAGATTATAAATAAAAACATATTATTTCAAAACATAAATAAATTATTCGGGGCGGAAATTTAATTTAATTTAAAAAATCGATAGCCATATAACTATTTCTACTTTAAAAGTATATTTTCAAGCTTAAACAACCAATAGTAATTTAACAGGTCCGGGCATCGGTGATTGTTTCATTTTCACATTCAAGATTTGGCTATTTTGAAATCCATGAAACATTGCGTTTATTACTCACAGATCGGAATAAATCCATAAAGTCAAAATCGTATATATACGGCAAATTTGGTGCTAACAAGTACAGATCTCTAAGGGATCTTAGGGAAATGAATTGAGTCCGTAAATTTTTATTGACATTCGAGTCCATAATGTAGATATGCGATATCTACAGATTGGGCGGAAACGACGAGTCAACGTTTTACTGGGATCGAAAAAAATACGCGCCATCGGTAGATAAGAAAAGCGACCACGGTTTATAAAAGGTAGCGAACTATATAAAACGGTCGGTGAACGCATCTATATGTATATATCAATATATAATATAATCGTTTAATCCGTGAGATAAGTGCTGACGACGGTATCGTCACGGTTCTTGGATTACGTATTCATCAAATAAAATTGATATTTTTATTCGCTTACCAGAGCAGGGATTAGATTTAAAGTAATTATTAACCATCTTGTGAGAGAGTTTAAAATCTAATGATCGTTTTATTAATATGTGAATTGATTATTCCAGAAGGGGACAGAGAAACAATGAAATAAACGTCATCCGTGGTTATCTGTAGATGAAAATGACGATCAATCACTATCTCTCAGCCGTAGAGAACTGTAATCTCCGCGATAAATATGCATACGTTCATTTATATAGGGATACGAGATAGTTATGATCTCGTTATGGATCACAATATTTGTAGTCGATTTATGTCCTGGTAAAATGTAATTTACTACGATAGCATTATTTCCAATTACGGTGATGTAAATGTTCAGGTTTAATATGGGGGTTGCTTGGGAGTGTTTAGTAGCCCTAAATTTTTAATACCATCATTAAATATGTATTAGTTATGCTATGTAAATCATAGAAATTTTGGGATACATTTATTTGTAAGACTTCATTTTCATATTAATAATACAGATAGATAGAGTGAGAATAGTATATATAATATTGTTTATATTATGATTAAAAATTAATGTAGGTATTAATTATCAATTAATGACCGACGAAGATTTTACAGGACGAAAGACGATGGTCGATATTCGATAACGATTAAGGTCTATCGATTTTTTAGTAAATGGGAGAAATCCTCTAAAGGTACAATATCTTAGCAGCAGGCACACTATTTTTACGTCATTCCTATGGGCTGGTTTTTTAATGAACGATTGCGGCTTTGCGACTATGAATGGGTCGCAGTGACACGCAACTCTACTCAGTCAAAAGAAGTGTACGGCGATGGTCGTCAGCAAATTTTAATATTGTTTTATATTTTTTACCATTAAACACCATGGTCGAATCATAAAACTTTGCCCAAGTCGTATTTTTGCCTGACCAAAAGAAATATTAATTTAAGAAGTACGTAATAATTCAATAACTATGTTACTGGATGGTTAGATAATGGTTGATAACAATTTGTTTTCTTCTTCTTTTTCGTCCAATAAAAGCTGCACGATTTTGTTGTTAACAATGTATGTATTGACCATATTAAATATTAGTACGAATACTACACAGTATTAATAAATAGGTTTCTACTGTACGAGCGCTAAGACTATATTTATTTATTTTTTTTTTATAACTGCAGTGACCAATCACCGGCGAAGAACAACAGGCAGGCAATGGCAGCTGATCATCCCGGTAGTTGCAGTAGTAGCCATGGATTGGACACCATAACTTTAATATTGAACGTACACAATCAATTATTGTCAATCCGAATTGACTATATCGATTGTATTTTTTCTGTGAATACACAAAAATTACACATACTGATCGTAGTATCATACTGAGTTAGTATTTAAATTACTTGTATTAGTCTGAATTAGTGTCTGAATCGTTATGTCTATGTGACCTACGTGTATATTGTTTACTAAATTGAATATTATTTGCTTTAATCCAGGTGGTTTATTGTTTGCTTTTCATATTTAATTTGGAAAATGCTAAAAATGTTTTTAGTATTTTCAATTCAAAAAGAGGTTTTATTAAATACATTATATTAATGTATTCAAAAAACACTAATAATTTTAGCGGGTTTTTAAATACCATTATTATTATTTATTACTATTAAAAACGATCAATCTGATTTATTTATTTAATTTAATTTATTTTAATATTATTCAATGGGTGAAAAATCAATGCATTATTGAAAATCCTGTAAAGTAATGATGGTAAAAGTTTCTTTTTCGTGCTTACGGGCCTTGGAATGGATAACGGTAATGAGTGTATTGAGTCTAGTAACAAATATCCATATTTCCAATTACTTCTATCCTATCTAATTAAAACGAAGGTACATGTATGTAATTATATCTAATCTACTTTTCTCTCATATATTTTTTTGTAGTCAATATTATTCAGATTGGATGTTTAATTCTACCATGGTAAAAACAGCATCAAATTAAAAACATAATGTTTTATCCAAAGTTTTATTATGATTGGACGAACAAATTTAAATATGTAAATAAATAAAATAAAAAATAAATAGATTATAAATTATATAAAAACAGTAAATTCCATAAAAATCGTAGAACATTTTACCTAAACGTTCATAAAATAAAATCTTGACTAACGATTTTTAATTTTTTTTTAGTATCATTAGGTTAGTATATATATGAGTTAGGTGATATTATATTTTTAAGTCTTAATATCTAAACATAAAAATGTTATTATATAAAAACTTTAAAAAATGAGGTATTTTCATAATTCTTCATTTAAACCAAAAGTGCTTTAATTTTTTTTAAAAATTTTGCCAATTATGAAAAAAAATGTCTTTGATATAAGGTAAAAGTTTCAAGTTTATAGCCACATTACATTCAAAGTTATGACTAAATTAATAAAAACTGAAATGTGGAAATCTCTTTTACAGCGCATTTTTACCGTTTTTACTGTTTTTTCGGCTGTTTTTCTTCACGTTTGGTAAAAATATAGAGATTTTGGAAATATTACATTTTTAAAGTACCTCCGTAGGTAAATTTTGAGTACACAAAGTTGTTCGATGAAACTTTTGTACCAGTATTTCTATCCGAAAAAATATTTACAGAAAATAAATAAAAATAAATAAACATCAATGTAAAACTAGAAGATTCTCACAGTTTAATTTAGTCGTCATAAATTTTGGAACCTCAAATATTTAATCCGAATTGCACCTATGTGTAGATGTAATATTCTAATTTGGGTTCTCACGAGTAAGCTATTTTTCGCGGCGTTCAATCACCGTGTGTAGGTAAGGACACAAATATAAGGATAAGGTACTCGACGATAATATTATACTTACTTCCTGTTATACCTATATTTTTATTTAAAACGTAGTTTTGCACCAATGATATTAAAACTTTTATTTTTGAACACGATAATGTTCTTTACAAAGCTTTCACGCCACATATCTTAGCCATGAACAACTGTTTAAGACATTTTTTTTTGTCATAATTTAATTTTTCCATCTAATTAGATTAACAAAATCGCAATATATTGTGCATTATTATGTATAATATATTTGTTTTTGAAATACTACGGGTACACCTATAGAGAATGTTCATGGCACATATAGTTTGAAAACCACTGTTTTGAGTATTAGAGCGCGTACAACAAAATAACGTCTCATCCATGGATTGCACGTTTTATGTTTACACGGACATAATGCGCGTGCAAACGAGACGTTATTTCTATCGAGATAATCGTGGCCGCGGGGTGGGAAAAAGATTGAATGTATATTTAATGTGTTCACGGAGGTCCTATAATAATATTACGGTTACTTACACATAGTTTACCAGAAAAAGATGGAGAAAGCCCACAAAGAAATTGCTTCGACCGTTCTGGCGTAATATCTATGTAATATATAATAAATCCACCGTTGAGAACGTGACATTATACTTTTACGTATATATTATAGTTTAGCACTTTTGTTTCCCAGGTGTATCTATGGGATTTTGTTGACTCCGTAAACACCAGTGCGAGATTGCGTGCGTGCGTGTAACACAGGCGTATAATATCAGTTTTTCAGGAAAATAATGTAAAATAAAGAACGATGTTGCCGGGAATAAAACGTTTCGTGCTCAAAAGTAAAAAAAAAAAACTGTTTATTTTAAGACTTTTTACGATGTTGTTTGTACAGTTGTAATAATCCAGCGTCTAATCGTGTCATATTATTATTATTATAATTACCCAGGTTCAGAAGTAGAGGAATATAAACGAAGAGCTACAGTTGGACACTGGGTACTCGTCAAAGACGTAAGTAAACAAAAAATTGTGGTGGTTAGCGATGCCATGGAAAATTTTTGATTTTCATATTATATAAATTATGTTGAACCTTGCATTTTCAATCATATCGTTAGCTTTGTACCGGAAGAAATCGACTTTACATTATTTCGACATCATTGTAGATTTTATGATTTTAGAATTAATTTTAGGTTCAATTGGTTTGCGATTTCCTATGAAAATGATAATCTAACGTAAATGTTTATTTTTTATACCAAAAAGGCACATCGTTCTTGCCGTTAACGTATTCATTCGCTTACCTAAAAAAAATAAATACATTTAAAGCTTTGGTGTGCAGGATTTCGTTGCACGAAAGTAACCTCAGTTTGATCGTATATAGATAAAAAAAAGTAAATGAACGGGTCAACCGGCTTTATCATTCAGGGATTAATTGCTATTATTTTCTAGGGTACGATTCATTGTATTCGTTTTACTGGTACATAACCTTAAAAATTACCCCAGATAATTGCCATTATTTTTGCCCATAACAATAATCCAATGTGTGATCTTTTCTTTATCTTTTTTTTCTGTGGAACAAAAAATAAAGTCTAAAATCCCACGCACGACTATTGCGACAAAATGTGTCTCATCCATTATACTTAATATCATCATCTATGAGTTTGAAGTGTATAAGACCGATGCGAACGAAGATATCTTGAAGTGCGTGGTTAAAGCGTATTGGTCTTGATAAATATGTGAAAAATGTTTACCTAGTACTCTTATTGGAAGCACGTTTTCTCTGACGTATTTGTAGGCGTATGACAGATGAGTGTTTATTTAATTTGATTTATTACGTTAGAGTATATTTCTAAAATAAGATATTTAAAGACGTTCGTTATGGTGAGGATTTTGATATCGGAAGGCGTCAACAAATATAATTATTTTTATGGTTTCGTCCGACTACCACTACCACCGAAATCGCCACCACTCCCGTTACCACAACCACCACCACCACCATCACCACCACTGCCACCCGGATGGAATAAAAACATTCTGCCGGTATTTTTAGGAGCCCGATGCCGATGATCGTCGCGACTGGGTGACCGCCGCGGGACGCTTGCCCACCGGATCAGCGTTCACAGTCGACAGCGTCACGATCGTGCCCGGCATCGGCGAACGTTTCCTGGACGTTTCTGGTCGCGGTTTCGTGCACGCGGACGGTCAGCACTTTGCGGGCGACCCGTTCGACCGCGTCACCGTCGTGAACGCGGACGACAATGTGCTACGATTGGCCTCGTTTAGCACGTTCAAATCCGTCTGGCGGCTGAGCCTGCGACGTAACCGTCTAGAATCCGTCGAACCGTACGCTCCCGTTTGTTAACCGTTCACTAGCCCCGTGTCAAAAATCTGTCTCCTTCCCTCACTGCAGTGAATGCGGGATTCGGGTGATCCAAGCGATCACTTTACTCAACCCTCTTCCTTTAACGTAAAAAATAAAATTAAAAAAGAATAATGAAATGGCACGTAATATTTTACCGACAGTTAATCAAATACGTAATTAAATTAATATATATTTCAAACTATAGTTTACGCTACGTATACGCTATGGACCGGGTAACACGTGTTCTCTGTTTAATGCATGTCATTCGGGCTTAAAAAGTCACCCTCTCCATCCGTTATCTTGGACCGAATCCACCCTCGATTTCCAGTCGTTAGGGTTCGAATCTCGGTTGAAATCGGAGTTTTATGTAATACATAATATACATTATACAAAATATATATAAGTTATATATATATATATATATATATCCCTTATGCCATATATGTTCTTCCTATAGCGTGATATCGATTCGAAGTATGGTTTGTTGTTTCAATTAAATATTCGTCTGCGCTATACATTTTTTTTTGACACTCGTACGTAACTGAAAAAACTGACCAAATGATTCGTCAGATGTCTTTAAACGGTCGTTGAGTAGTATCTCTGTACTTAGTGATGTTTAACGCGAGACGATTAAACTCTCTAATTATGTCGCTTAATCTCGCAACGTCGAATCTGTTGTTCGAACGGCGTTCGGCTGCGACTAATGAGCGCGAGTTTCACCGAAACGCGTATTCGTTTGAGCTTCCCGAAATGCTCGTGCAAAGTTTTAACGTCTCAGACGGTCGGGTCCGTAACAATTACGATGAATTCGAGTTTATCGTTTTTGATTTATTTTGGAAAAAAAAAAACGTATCTTAAAGATGATATCATCATCGAATTCCGAGTCATCCGTATTATTGTAATGCTTGCGTGGCCGTCGAAAACGTGTTACGTCAACAATTTTATTAATAAATGTTTTTACAGTGTTGACGGCGATCTGGCGAATACATTGATTTGTCTAGACGTTTCGGAGAACCGACTGGGTCCGGAAGACATCTACCGCTTGTCCACGTCAAAACTTAAACAACTTAACGTGTCGGCCAATCAACTGATGGCTGTTCCCGAGAGTATTACCGATTACCATTGCTTCTTACTGCTCGAACATCTGGACCTGAGTGACAATGGCTTATCGAGTTCGAAAACGTTCTACGTACTCTCTACACTACACAACCTGCAAGCGTTGGATATGAGCACTAACCGAATAACGTTTATACCATATTTGATAACGAAACAGGTGACACTACTATGATAAATTATGAATTCACGTCACAATGCCGCGGTAATTATGTCGCAGTAAAAATGTAATGGTAAAAAGGTCGTGAACGCAAAATGTCGGTATGGTAAAAAATATGAAGAATACAATTAATATATAATTAAATTAAACTAATTTTATCATGTACCTATTTAGTACACATTTATTGATTCTTTAACTTCAACATTTGCGATATCAATTACACATGGTTATGTTCAGTTGTACGTACGAACTAAATTTTGCTTAGATCAATGTAATCGACCACCACATTTTTTTGTATTATACTCTACGCACTTCCAAATGATTTTATTTTTGTTTTTTACATTGAAAATAATTGAATATAACTTTCCATTTTTTTTTTTTTTGATTCATTATATAATCGAATGACATTATGCGTAGACGATATCTAGAATTAATATAACGTTGAATTTCTGCAAATTACACACTAATAAGTACACTGGACTTTATTTTCTACCTATGATAATTTGACGGGTATATATAAATATGTATATGATGGGTAAGCTAGTATCAATCATTCAAAACATATTACAAATAGCTTATAACGGTCACGGGATTATGCATTGTTCAAATATGATGTCGCAACGTCTTTTTATTACGACATAAGGGTACGCCATCTAATTTAAACAATGCGGATTCATTATTTATTTCAATTAGCCATTTCTTTTATATTACTTTTACGTAAAGATCATAGTAGGTATTCGTATATGCATATAGCCGAATTCAAATTAAATATGCTTCAGCATCTTTAACCGTGGTTAACCGTCAAAAACAAATTGAGTCCAAACCAGAAAAAAAAAAAAA